AGGCACATTTTCCAGGGCATGATTATCTATACAAAGTCATCATTTTTTTTGGCACACCATGCATCTAGAAAAGAACATGGCATCTCTATTTTTTTTAACCTTTCAGAGGAGAAAGAGTAGCGGTTATAATTACTCCCTCCGTCTCAAAAAGTAAAAAAACTTAAACTAGAAAGAAATATGACCACTCATAGCACAATAAATCTGAACCACTTTAAAAATAATAACAATGGTTATGATAGTGAATCTACCACTACCACCTCTATCAATGGCATATGTGGAATTTGTACTTCTTAAAACGAGAAGAGAGTACAGGAGCAACTTTTGTTTCAAAACTAGAGAAAAGTAGGTAGCTGCATCGAATTTTGAAATTTAGGGTTTGATTTGTTTTTTTTCCAATCTCTTTTTTACGATTGTTACTCCATCTGTCCCATTTTAAATGCATCTATGAGTTTTCGTGCCCAACTTTATTTGTTCGTCTTATTTAAAAAAGATATAATTAATATTTTTATTGTTATGAGATGATAAAACATAAATAGTACTTTGTTCGTGACTTATGTTTTTAATTTTTTTAAAAAAAATTCAAATAAGATGAACGATCAAAGTTAGACGCGGAAAATCATGATTGCACTTAGAATGGGACGGAGAGAGTAGGTAAAAGAAACATACAATTTTTTTTTATTAAAAATCAAAGTACAAAGCTATTATATATTGTCTAATACGTAATGATATAGCCATTTAATTTTTGCTACGTAAATATGTAATACCATATGATTCTCTTTTTTAATCCTGTTACAAAGTACAGGTATTATGTTTGTAGTGAAAACATCGGGAAACATTTCTCATGTCATTTTTTTTAGACAATCCTTGCTGAGACTTATATTCACAAATTACGTTGGGAATCTGAAAATTAATTTTACAAGTTAACAGTAATCCGTGTATATATGGTGAGGCATGCGGGGATATCATATTTCATTATCTAAAAAAAATCCATGGGGAGATATTTCTGTGGCTGCCTGAGCCAGGACAGACGGCAGGATTGTTTTCCTGTGGTGAATATAATTAACAATTATGTTTAAAAAAAGAATAGAATTAACAATCATGCATGCAGGATTGGGCAATCTTTTTTCGAGCTATCCGCATGGCGATGGCGCCGAAGGCTTGAACATGAAGTTCAGTGCACCAGCTGCTCGCCGTCGGCATCAGATTGCTCACTAGCTTGTCTGACCTGACCTACTCTAAAGATTAAACCATGTCACGTCAGCATACAGGACAACAAAAACGGTTCTGGTGTGTTGTAGGATGGGGGTACGTGTGAAAAGGACTTTGCTGAAAGGATCGCGGATTTGCTGGTTTCTTAAGTACATAGGATTATTATTAAATTCTGGTTTGAAAGTTCAAACCCTGTCTGTAGAAGACTAGTACTAGGACACCAGTACAGTTCTCTGATGCACATGTAGCTGGAGATGTGCACTTAAAAGCAAAACTTCCATGGAAAAAGTTTATCTAACAAAGAAGAGTTCGACTTTGTACGTCAGCCCCACGCGACCGTCGTCGATCGGCCTATTATTGGTTGGTTAATGGCCTAGGCTACAAAGTTTGGATCCAAACTTCAGTCTTTTTTCATCACATCAACCTGTCATACACACAATTTTTTAGTCACACCATCTTTAATTTTAACCAAAATCCAAACTTTACGCTGAACTAAACACAGCTCTAATATAATACAGGGTGGAAAGTGGAAAGCACCATGGAAAATTCATCAGAAGCCTTTTCCATTGGCTTGTGGCGCCCTTTCTCTTTGCCGTTGCCGCACGGAGCCATCTCGGACTCCTGGAGAGGTTTTACTGGCTCGTTTAAGAAATATAAACGGTCCTTTTCATGCCGCCTGGCGTTGCTTTTTCTTAAAGTTTATGATTAGGGGCACATCATCAAATCAACCCCCGTGCAGTCAAAGTCTAGCGGAAGAAAGAACATTGGACACAGGTCACAACTCACAAAAGTCACAAGTACTACTCCATTAGAGCAAGTTTAATACTATCGCTAACTACTAGCTTCAATTCATCTATAGTCAATCTAATAGCTCATTCATACAGTAGTTACATACCAAACTATTAATATCTGGTCCCACCTATCATACACACACTGTGTCTTATAGTCTGTGCTACAGCTGGCTATAAATCTGTAGTTCGCTGCTCTTCTCTCCTCATTTATATACTTAAAATATGTTTGCAGCTGGCTTATAGCTGTTATTTTACCTGCTCTTATACTACTAGTAGTGGTAACTGTACATGTGTGGCTCTTTCGATCGTGGTAAGGAAAACAGAACCAGGCCTGCTTCTAGAAACGGTGCAGAAGAAGCCTTCGTCACGTTGAAATAGCCGAAGACCCAGGGTCGTCTTCTCCTGTACAGACTACAGAGTACAGTAGTGCTGTTAACGTTTCAGCTGCTGCCGCCGCAAAAGTTGACGATCACCCAGAATCCGCAGTAATGAGGGGCTCGCCCCTCCTATGTTCTGCACATCACCACCAATCCTCCCCTGTTCTTTAGCGATCTGTCGTGTTTCATTCATGCGCGATGCGCACCACCAATACCGATCACGGAGAGCGTCCGTCTTTTTTTTTTTTACATCGGACCGTGCAGAGACAAGGCGACGGATCTCTCGAGGTCGTAGACGCCTTGCAAGGAAGGAGCCGGGAAGCAGCGGCGGCCAACAGCGGCAGCAGACGTGGTGGACCGAGCTGCAGTGTCCCGCACGCGAGGCAACGCAACGGAGGCGTCGCACGAGACCGCGACCGGCGCCCATCCCGAACGGATCAGCGGATAGCGTCGTCTCGTTTCGGCCTCGAGCAAAAGAGAAAAAAAATGATGCTCACGACCTCGGCTGCTGGCTGCTGGCTGCTGCCGCTTCTCCGTCGAATTTCCTGGTCCACGGTCAGAGTCCGCCTTGACCTTTGACTAGTCCACACTCCACTCACTCGCTGCTTATTCCTAACTTTACCTTTAAGAGAGAAGTACTTACTCCTAACGACCTACTACTACGCTACTTTAATTTACTAGTAGTGGCTAATTAACATGTCATTTGTTTGCTGTGTAACCTGTGGCTTAGCAGGATCGACGTGGTGCTGTAAACAAAGGCGCCTGACTGCGCGCCCATGGGTTCTTGGCCGTGGAATTACGGATGCAGGCGTACAGCTAAGCTTTCATTATGGCCTTTTGTGTTGATAACGATGATATGGTCGATTATGATAGCAACCGTCTAGCAACACATGGCAAATCGATCGTAGGTACATACATATAGGCAATCGAATAAATCGAGCACATGGTGGCAACAACTTGCTTGTTTGTTACAGTATCCGGTTACAGGGTTAGTCAGGTGAAATTCCAACAACAGGACATTATATCGTCTTCATCGTGATCATTCATTGTTCGAGTTAGCTCCAGAGTTGGCAGGTCACAGAGGTCCTAGTACGTGGTTTCATCGACAAGTCATCGTCCCTGACGTGACTGCAGCTAACTAACTTGCGGTCAGTGGAGCGCTGCGACTTGAACTCTGAGGTTAATTAACAATTCATGTTGTGATCAGCCTCGATAAAGCATGCCCAGCGGCAAGCCAGCAAGTGTCTTGTGCTGATTTGCAGCACCTGGGCTGCTTCACCGAATCATTATTCTATCTGCTAATTAATCTGCACATGTCCCGGTTCATAAACAAGTAGAAACTCAATTCTCAAACTCAAACTCGTCACTATATTTTTCGGACGAACCATTTCCTAAACGACGAACACCTCTCACTGAGACAAAAGGCCAGTCGCCATCGGATCTAACGAAACAGTTTTCTCTGTATTTTTCAAAGCTCGTGCATCCCCCGGAGTCAGGTTTCGGAAGAAAATCACGTGATCATTATTAGGCCATGGCAAGCCCGTGCAGATAAGCAAGGTCTTCACTGGCGTGACGCTGCTGCAAAAGTCAAGAAATGGCGAGTTGATAATCTTTATCTGCCCACGGCACACTGAACCTAAGCAACACCATGTGTGGATTTCCAACCGTTCATCTCGACTGTCGGTAGATAACTAGTGTAAAGTTCTGAGCTACACTATTTCAGTGCTTTAAGATTTTCGGAGACAAAACTAGTATATGAACTGAAATTAGAAATGATGTGATATGAGAAATTAAGTGAACGAAAAAATTAAATACAGAATAGTTGTGATTAGTTGAGACGAGAGATTATATGGAAAGTGTTATATTTTAAAATAAATTTTAAATGTGGTAAGTTGTTATATTAGGGACTAGGAGATTGAATCTTTTATCGTACCAGAGAGGATAACTCTAACACGATCTGAAAAAAAACATTTTACTGTAGCTGTTGGACTATTTTTAACTATACCAATTGTGATTTTTTTTAGAACCAATAATATCCTCTCCCATTTCCCTGTACAAAACCATGCTCTACTTCTCTGATAAACATGTTTTTAGACCACCACGATCCAAACAAATGCCGATTTGGCATCTTCGTTTTCTTTTCGGGTTGAAAATGTGACAACAACGTCACCTACGACCTTAACATTATTTCGCATGTCCAGCATGCCATATTGCAGTACGAGACAGCCGCATTATTGCCCCGCAACATATCGATGTGTTTGTCACTCAATCGAGCACATTCTATTCTCCTCATAGGATAGAATTAGATTGATAGAAAACGCCTAATTAATTTCGCAAAGAAAATTTTGCCATGGAAACGCTAACTACAGCATGCGGGGCTGCACTGCTGCAGGTCGCCGGTTGTCCGTTTCTGCTTTAAAATCGCACGCTGCTTTCTCGTAAGCTCGGGCCCAACAAATGGCGTCTTTATCCTCTTGTGCGCGAGCGCAAGTAGTGGCAGAGACGGGTCCAGGGGCGATGCACCAGCATGACTTCTACGCTATTTCTTCCTCCGATAGCAAAATTCGATGGCCGCTGGCCACATGCGTCTCGTACGTGTCCATTGTTTTTTTTTTTTTGCCAGTGAAAATTCGGCATCCAGTTACTGTAGTTAATTCTGCTAGTACGAATACACTCATACCAGTAGTACAAGTTACAAGTTACAACTAGCCTGTCGTTTACAGAAACGCAAGGGGATTATTCAATGGCTGGTGTGATAGTTTAAGCAACTTGCATTCTGCAATAGTGATAGCGCTTTAGGCCTTTAGCCATCAACAAGACAGAGATAAGTATGCAGCCTTATGGTAGACGGAAAAACGCAGTCATTCACCTGATGACCTGAATGTTCCGAGGATATCCCCAAAGTAAGCACAAGTTGGACTGGACCATCTAGAGAGCAGATAATAATCAATCGCACCAACAGCGCTAGCTAGCTGCTCTGCTGCCGCCTACACGATCCTGCCTTGCAGGCTTCAGCCTGCAGCGCCCACAAACCGGCTCGAGCGAGCGACCACGAGGCGTGCCGGGCCACACACTGCTCCCCTCGAGAGGCCGAGAGAGCCGAGCTAACGACCTCATCGCTGACGCCACCGCACGGGGCGACCCCAACAAAAGAAATGGTTATCTCAACCTCCTCCCCAAAACGCCCAACTAAACAAGCATCAGCTACTCGACCCACCTATCTGGCCTGGCTCACTCTTTCTCCGTTTATTTTTTATTTACTCTTCGTAACTAAAAATGCCATTTCCACCACGTGGGTGAGTGCGCGCGCGGGAGGAAAGTTCAACGAAGCGTCGAAGCGAGCCCGTCCACCTATATAAAGCTCGCCCCGTCTCCGCCTCGGCTTACCATTCAACTCGAACACACCACACACTGAAGTGTGTAACCAAGTTTGAGACAGAGGCGAGGTCGGGTCAGCAAGGAAGACGGCGATGACGGCGCGAAGCATGTTGCGGAACCACCCGGAGGCGTCGGTGCTCGACACCATCCGGCAGCACCTGCTGGAGGAGCCGCGCGGCGGCGGCGGTGGCGAGGCGGCGGAGGCGAGCTTCGGGAGCCTGGTGGCCGACATGTGGAGCGACTCGCTGCCGTTCCGCGACGACGACGCCGACGACATGGTGGTGTTCGGCGCGATGCGGGACGCGTTCTCGTGCGGGTGGCTGCCCGACGGCGTGTTCGCGGAGGTGAAGCCGGAGCCCCTGCTCTCGCCGGACTCGTCGTCGTACGACGGGTCCTCTTGCTGCTTCGGCTTCGCGGACGTGTCGGAGCCGGTGACGCCGAGCGACGCGGCGTCGGGGGCGGCAGAAGCGGCGGCCGCGGCGGCGGCGGCGACGGCGGAGCACGGGAAGGAGGAGGAGGCCGCGGCTGCGGTGGCGAGGGGGAAGCACTACAGGGGGGTGAGGCAGCGGCCGTGGGGCAAGTTCGCGGCGGAGATCCGGGACCCCGCCAAGAACGGCGCGCGCGTGTGGCTCGGCACGTTCGACACCGCCGAGGACGCCGCCCTGGCGTACGACCGCGCCGCCTACCGCATGCGTGGCTCCCGCGCGCTCCTCAACTTCCCGCTCCGCATCGGCTCGGAGATCGCAGCCGCCGCCGCCGCCGCAGCGGCAGCGGCAGCCGGCGACAAGCGGCCGTCGCCGGAGCCGGCGACCTCGGAGTCGTCCTTCTCCTCCTCATCCTCCTGCACCACCACCACCACCTCCTCCTCAACCTCCTCCTCCGGCTCCCCGAAACGGAGAAAGAGAGGCGAGGCCGCGGCCGCGTCCATGTCCATGCCCCTGGTGCCCCCGCCTTCCCAGCTGAACTGGCCGGTGCAGGCATGGTACCCCGCCGCCGCACCGGTCGAGCAGGTGGCGATCACCCCGCGCGTGGAGCAGCTCGTCATCTAAAGCGCGCGACGCACAGTGAAGCAAGCAAACCAAGCCAGCAATGGTCGACGTCATATCACCTTGACGCCCCAACGGATTGACCAGCGAGCACGAGCCAGCCATTGCTTTGCACGGCGCGAGACGGCAAAGGGATCAGGCGATGGAACCCCGTGAGCGCGACGGCGCAAGCGAGCAGCATCCCCGCGAAAGCTCCACCGGATGCAAAATTGCAAACGCGATAAGCTCGCGGGTGCAACTGGTGAAATTGGGTGGTGCAATCGTGTGTGGGCGAGCTCTAGCAGATAGTAGCGTGGTGGTGGTGGTGGTATTGTTGTCCCGGCGCAACTCGCCCAAGTGGGGGGGTGAGGAGGATACTCTGTGTCTACTAGCGTGTTCTTGTCAGGGAATGCACGGTGTCGTCAAGTGTGCAAATCCTAAGGGTCATAATTCGCGTCATTGTCACTAGTGGATCACCCGAGTGAGTTTGTGAGGGTTTCAGTGAAAAAAAAAAACTGTACAAACGATGTCTTGTGGTGTGGAGAAGCAGCAGAGATGAAGAACAATCAATCATCCCCTTTGTTCTTTTGATCTTAGGAGTCCAAATGATAGGTCTAATCAGTAATCACAAGGTCGCAAACATTTAAACCCAGAAACAAACGGCACATTAGGTTTGGAGGAGAGAAACTTTGGCCGCTAAACGAACGAAAGAAGTCAAACAAACAGTCGTTATAATAGGAGACCAAATCGAGATGGTGCTCGAAACCAAAACTTCCAATCCGAGGCATCAAGCAAACAAGGGGGGCTGCCACGTGAAACAGCAAGATTAAATACATAACTAACCAATCATTCTCCCGTTAATCGTGGGGGAAAGAAAGTCGCTTTGGGGTTAAGCGCTGATAGCTCGGTGCGGCAAGTGGGCAGGGCGAGGCGGGAAGAGGTCGCCATCTGCTTTGCCATTATGCTGGAGACGAAATTGCAAGAAAAATACTAAAAAAGAAGCATACACACACACACAACAAGCGATCAATGTTGCAACTTGCAGTCGGCACCAATCTTTAGCCGGTAACAACAATAAAAATCTTAACTCGTGCTTATCCAAGACGTAAAGAGCCATTCTATCAGTAACAGTAACATGTATACATTGGGTACTGGAGGGCCACCCTGCTTGCGGAGACTGGTGTGTTAAGTTCAGCTGCTCTGCTTGACAGCTGGGCATGGGCCATCGGAGTGTGCATCCATGTATGCTCAGTATGAGATCACTCTCCATGAGTACACTTGTTTTATGTGGTTTCTGGGTGGAAAGAGAGCCCATGAGCCATGAGAAAAAGGCACACTTTTCTTTCCAGCTTAAATTGCCGACCGATCAGCACGCTACTTTGATTGAGTCCAGGTCATGCGGCAAAGTACACCACCAGCGATGAATATTTCATTACTAGATAAATGATAGAGTTTGTGCGTGCTGTACAGCGACGCAGCTGGCCAATACGTCCGGTAGAAAAGACGATCAATGGACAGAAGCGTGCTCAATTTGGGGGCTTATCGTGTGAAAGTAAAGCTGAATCTAAGCGTAACCTGATTGGATCAATTAGCCCCAGTCAATGGCTCGATGCGAAAAGGGAGAAGGCTGGCAACCGAATACATAGCAGAAGCTCTAGCTCTTTTTTTCCCCTAAAAAGCCTAACTTGTCAATTACTCCCTCCGTTCCTTAATATAGAGCGTGGCTGTTGTAGTTACAAAGACCAATAAAACCGTTTAAATATCAGATACGCTGATTAATTCTCTCCGTTCGAAGAGCGACGTTTAGGTAGTTGCGCGGTAGATACGCTAGCATTAACCACCATGCAGTGTGCGCTCGACCTGCACTTTCCGCGCGAATAGCCAGCATGCATGTAGATGCATTTTTGCTAGCACGCTTTGCTCGCCTGGCATAACGCCATGTATGGATTGTTTTGATTCAAAAATTTGGAAAGCCCCATGCATGCATGCTTGATCGAAAATTTGGATGGCGCCATCAGCGATAAAAAATGAATCGAAAATTTTCACTTGGCGCCACTATTTGCCAGCAAAATTTTCTCCTATAAATATGGGCAATGCACCACACATTTCTTCCATCTCTCTTCTTCCCTCCCATGGTTCAACGTATGTAATGGCCGGTTTTGATCTAAATCCACCCATCATCAATTGGGACGAAGTTGAGGATTTCAATGGAGATATATCTGATTTGAACTATGACTTTGTTTGGGATTATGACAATGAAGGTGTTCATAGGAGCTTCTTCTCTTGCTTTGTCTTCTTTTTTTTCTTGTGCATGTGTGACTTTATAATTTTGTTTCAACGCACAGATGGTGAAGATGTCAATGGCCGCAGCAGTGGCAACGACGGTGGCTGCAACGGCAGCGACGACGATGGCGGCGGCAGCGGCGGCGGCGACGACGACAGCGGCGGCGGCGGCGATCAAACCACCGATGGAGCAGTCGATGCAGGTAATACTCGTTCATTTTCTTTTTGTTGCTGTGTCTTTTTTGCTGCACGAGTTGAAGGCCTTTGCATATACACATGCACAATGCCATGCTTAAGCAAACTAGCCGATGCATGCCAACCATAGTATAGCCTGCACGTTCTCAGCCATCATCCACCATGCATGTGTAGGTATCAATATCAAGAGGAGGAGACACTACCCTCCTGATATGAAACGAGCCATATATGCATTGTGTTTGGAGAGATCGGATCCTGGTATGATGAAGGAGGGAGTGACAAAGTCAGTTGCTACTGATATGGGGGTTCCATGGAGAGTTGTTTAGCGTGTATGGCGACATGGACAAATTGGAGGTGGAATTGAAGCTTTCGAATCGAAGAAGAAGAAGAACTGTGGCCGCAAGAAACTTTCTTTTAACCCTGATGCCATCAAAGATGTACCGCTTAGGCAACGCCGAACACTCCGTGACCTAGCTAACGCTTTGCATATGTTAAAAACCACATTGTTTAGGCGTTTGAAGGAAGGAAGGTTTAGGCGCCATACAAATGCCATAAAGTTCACCTTGACCGAAGATAACATGAAGGCCCGTGTGCAATTTTGCATACAAATGCTTGATAGCCAAAGCATACCGGACAAGCCAACTTTCAAATCTTTGTACAACATTGTGTATATAGATGAGAAATGGTTTTATAGGACAAAGCCGGACGAAAATTATTACTTGTCACTTGATGAACCGAACCCTCGAAGAAATGTGAAGAGCAAAAATTTCATTGATAAGGTTATGTTTCTAGCAGCGAAAGCCCGTCCAAGGTTTGATGAGTATGGTGAATGTACATTTGATGGAAAAATTGGGATTTTTCCCTTCACTTACTGGGAGGCAGCCAAGAGGAGTAGTCGCAGTAGGGAGAGGGGTAAGTTGTTTAATTATGCTTAGTTACTCCACATATGACAACTCTACTAATTTTTTTAATTGCATGATTTAATACAGGAACCATGGAGCTCAAGGCCATGACAACTGTCATGAGGGACATTATCCGGAACTATCTCATTGAAAAGGTTCTGCCAGCCATCAAACATAAATGGCCTAATGAGGAACGAGGACTTCCAATATTCATCCAACAAGACAATGCGAAGACCCATATTACAGTTGATGATCCCGCATTTTTAAGTGTTGCACAAGAAGATGGGTGGGATATACGACTTACATGTCAACCACCAAACTCTCCAGATCTTAATGTTTTGGATTTAGGTTTTTTTGCAGCATTGCAGTCATTGTTTCAGAAGTCATCTCCATCAAACATCGAAGAAATTGAGACAAATGTGATCAAAGCATATGAAGAATATCCGGCGGATAGATCGAATCATGTGTTTCTTACTCTACAAGGGTGCATGAGAGAGATTATGCTTGTAAAAGGAGGGCAGCACTATGCAATCCCGCATATGAAGAAGAGATCATTAGAGAGAAATGGTCAACTTCTAATAAGGTTGCAATGTGATAAGCAAATTTATCTAGATGCGGTAGATTTCATCAATACATAGTTAGGATATTTCTCTTGTAATTTTGCATCGTTCAACAATTAGCAAGAAAAAGAGGAGTATTCATGTTTGTTTTTCTCTGATCTTCACGAAAAAGACATTGCATTAAATCGAATAGAACAATCAAGTGCATACACATTAGCTAAACCATCTAGCAATGACAACAAGCAGCAACATTGGCACCGATTATACCTCTAGTGAATCAGTTGTTTTTTTCCTCGGCGTCAGTCACCTCTAGTGAATCTGCAACAAATGTGTTGTTGGCCAGTGAGTCAACAACATACCCAATGTTGTCGGAGTCAGTGAAACGATCGACGCCAGCCAGTGAGTCGACCACGCTGCCCTCTCGGATTCCGGCGTCCCCTGCCTTCTCTCCGTTGTCACCCTTGCTGTCGTCGGTGTTGCAACAGCGAACGAGCTCTGCTTGCGCTCGCAGCCGCATGCGAAGGGCATGCACACGGAGCGTACGAGCATGAGCGATATCCATCTGCGCCTCCTGCTACATGCGGACGGCGGCGTCGCGGATCGCTCGGACACGGCTGAGCTCCACTTGAGCACGGCGTCGCATGAGCACAGCGTGGAGACGAAGTGATCACGCGCGGGCGAACTCCACCTGCGCCTGCTGCCGCATGAGTCGTGCAGATGCAATCTTCTCCTCTGTCGTCGCCATCGTCGGCATATGAAGTGTGAGCAGTGTCACAGAGGGGCGGTGTGTGCAGTGAGAGAGAGAGAGAGGAAGCAGTGAGAGCGAGAGAGAGAGGGGCCAGGAGCTGAGCTTTTTAAAAGCCAAACTGAGTCATCAGTTAATTCTCTGCATGCATCTGCATGCACCAGTACAGGAGCCGAGGAGTACTCATCAATTCCTGCATGCACCAAGGAGTTGCCGCCCTGTATTATGGAATCCAGTTGAAAAGAAGTTACGCCCTATATTAAGGAACGGAGGGAGTAGTATATTTTAATTAAGAATGAATAAAAAAACTAGACGGGTTAAAAAAAAGGAAAAGCATAACCCTTCAGCGAGAAGAGACTCGTCACACACCTCAATCGTGGTAGAAACCACCGCATAGCACGCATAACAGCACTCAACTTTAATGCAAGGTGCACACACATTTCTAAATTCAACTTTAAAAATATTTAATTAATGGTTACTATAATATAATTGAAATTTATTTGCTGAAAATAATAGCATTTGATTGATATTTCAATATACAGTTATAATTTTGTTGCTATAAATTTTATAGTATATGAGAAATTATATGTCAAATAAGTTCTATAAACCGTGCCGAGTGTGACCATCTATAAGTCAATTCCATCTATAAGTCAATTTATAGATGGATTATCAACTAAAACAACGACGGAACCCAAGTTCCAACTTTATCAACTAAAGCAGACATCGATAATGAGCTTGTTGTAATGTGGCACAAAAGCTCCAACTTTATATCTAAGATATAGGGTGTGTTTAGTTACTGAAAAAAGTTGGAAGTTTGAAGAAAGTTGGAAGTTTAGAAAAAAAGTTGAAAGTTTGTGTAGAAAAGTTTTTGATGTGATGGAAAGTTATGAATAGGCGGAAACTAAACACGGTCATACTAGAAATGCTATCGACACACGGAGGAAAGGGTTCACACTCTGTTAGGGAGTAAATGATAGAGGCAAACAGTTAAGTGAGCAGCGCTACAATCCTTTACCATAGCTAAAGTAAAATTACTGTAGAAACGGTGAAACGTAACATCTAATTATTTTTTGGGATTACTGTAGCAATTAGTCTCGTGCATTCAAATTTAATCCAATGACTATAAGAGCACCCACAATGATGATAAAGTAAGGTGCTCTCTATAAAACATGTACATCTCAGTAATAGACTAAATTAATAGTAAACCACCTCAATAGTATGTCTACATGGGTATCTATAGCTCTCTAATCCATTGCCTCGTTTTTCTATATAGACTATCTCCAGGTTAGTAGATAGCTTTGCTCTCTCTCTTCATTTAATCTCTTCCAAGTAGAAAAATATGATGACATGAATCTCTCATAGAGAGCCTATAGATAATCATTACGGGTGCCCTAAGGCTGTGTTTGGAGGAGAGGGTTGGGAACCCCTCTTACCCGGCACGCAAAACGAAATTCGTTTTATTGCATGATTAATTAACTATTAATTTTTTTTTTGAAAATTGGATTAATATGATTTTTTAAACAACTTTCATATTGAAAGTTTTTTATAAATTACACTGTTTAGCAATTTGAAAAGCGTGCGTACGGAAAACGAGATAGGTGGGTTGGGAAAATGGGGGGAAGAACACAGCCTAAGAGCAAGTTTAATAGTATAGCCCACTACTAGCTCCAATCATCTATAGCCAATCTAGTAGATAATTCATATAATAATTGTTTACTATACTATTTATACTATTAATGCATGGTCCTACCTGTCATACACACATTGCGTTTTGGAGTCCACGCTACAGCTGACTATAGATTTGTAGCCCGCTGCTTTTCTCTCTCATATTTTATCTCATTAAGATATATTTATAGCTGACTAATAGTCTGCTATTGTACCGGCTCTAAATAACTAATGGCATGGATTACTGTAGTTCTCTACCTTTGCAGTTGGAACGGCGGAGGATACTATCCCCGGAGGAAGAAAGTCGCTGTACGACGATGGATGATGCACGGATCGGCGAGACGACGACCGGGACCGTGCAGACGAGTTAGCGGCGCGAGACGGCGAGAGGGGTGGTGGGGGTGACCTTCTAGATAGGCAAAATATGACATGCGTGAGGGCTGTGCATTGTTAGCTAGCAAAGTCTTCTAGATCGTCAATGCGATTAAAGCGTGCAGGTGACAGCAACCTTGACTTAATTGGCGATACCCCGCGGGGGCCTCCTAGCTAAGCCGATGCTTCCACGATGATTCCGTGATTCCGTCTAAGGGAGCAACTTAGGCTGAGTTTAGTTCCAAACTTTTTTTTTCAAACTTTTAACTTTTTTATCACATTAAAATTTTTCTATATATAAACTTTCAATTTTTCCGTCACATCGTTTCAATTTCAACCGAACTTTTAATTTTAACGTGAACTAAACACACCATTAGCAAAATAAAGCTTCCCTGTTCCGAAACATGACGGCTTCTGACCGTCAAACGAATCGTCCTAGTCTTCGACTACAAGTAGATGCCTTGCCCTTGAATCCCAGCCACGCCAGCATCGGCATCAGCTTGTGCAAACTTTTCAACGATGAGATGAGCAGCACGACTGCACAAGCATATGAGACGAGATAGTGAGGACCTTTTTCCTTTTTTTCCACGAGGGAATATGAGAGAGCGAGACCTCGAAGGGTCGTACTTGCAATTTCGCGTTTATATGGGCCGTAGTAGGCTCATACACGTCCAGCCCATCTGCGACCAGTTCGGCCATTCAGTTACGGATTAAGTTCACCAGCCGTCCCTCAACTTTATGTCGACTTGGTATAACATCCCTAAACCTCAAACCAGAAATCTTCACCCTTAAATAATACAAAACCGTGCAATTTCGACCTCATGGCAGTATAGACCTCTGGTTTCGCTGATGTGGTATCATAGTAAGCAAAATAAAAAATAAAAAAATATGAGACCCACATGTAAGTCTCTTCTTTCTTCTCTATTCTTCTCTCCGCTATTCTCTTTTCTTCTTCTCTACTATTTTCTTCAGCGATGGCATAGAGGAGATAGGCCGGAGGTGGCAGAGAGGGGAGAGGCAAGTGGGCGAGCATGGCTGAGCTCTCCACCGCCTCAAGAGGCTCCGCACCCGTTGCCGCTCGCGACCGAGGAGGAGGAGAAGAGGGGTGGGGGTGGGGGGGGGGGGGGAGGCTGCCGGCGGGAAATGAGGGAGGGGAGAGGCGCGGGACGGCACCATAGCTAGCCTTGCCGCATGTGGGTTCACCGCGGAAGGGCGCAGCCGCCGCCGCCGTCTCCGGGTGACGACTTGGACCATCCACAACGAGGTGCCTTCCGACGCCCTCGCCTTCCTTGTCGTGCCGTGCGAGGTCCCCTTCCGTGAAGTAAGGGTACGGCTAGCAGAGAATGTCGGTGCCTCTGCTGCCACCATCACTGCAGTCAGGTACAGCCTCGCGCGACGAGGACCTGTTGGTGTCGGTCTCCTTCGATGAGGAGCTCGCCCACATGCGCGACGAGTACGACCGTCTCAGGGCAATGCATCCGTTCGCGAGCTTCCAGCTGTTCGTCTCCACCGCTGTTGCTTATACCTCCTCCCGTCGCGAGGCGCTCGAGGTGGCGGAGTTCGGCCGGGCTCGACGGCGGCCTCTCCCCTCTCTGCCGCTGCCGGCCTATCCCCTCTTTGCTATCGCTGAAGAGAAGAGAAGAGAAGAAGAAAAGAGAAGAGAGGAGAAAAGAAAGAAGAGACTTATATGTGGGTTCCATAATTTATTTTTTTAATTTTGCTGACTAGAATAACATGTCAGCGAAACCCGAAACCAGAGATCTATACTGCCGTGGAATCGAAATTGCACGGTTTTATATAGTTTAGGGATAAAGATTTCTGGTTTTGGGGTTTCGGGATGTCATACAAACTTGTCGTAAAGTTGAGGGATGACTGATGAACTTGTTCCTTCAGTTACACGCGCACGCATGGTGATACGGCCCACGAGAGATCGGGCCCAATACAGGCAGCGGCGGCCGAATGCAGCAGCGCCCGTAACCTCGTACGTATCGCCTCGTGGGAAGCGGCCGAGGCCGCGCGCGGCGGCAACCACAGCAAACCACAGGTGTCGCTCGGCGTCCGACACGAGTCCCGCATGCGCCCCACGCGGCGGCTCCAGCACCCGCCTCCACGCCGCCCCATGCACGGCGCCTCCCCCTATAAACCCCACCCTCTTCTCCCTCCTCACCGTCGTCAGTCCACTTCTCACTAGCTCGTAGACAGTGCTGCACGTGGGTTAGCTACTTAGCTCTTTCTCTGCATTGCTGGCTTAATTTTGCAGCTGCAGGTGTGCTCGATCCCCATGGCTGATCAGCACAGAGGAGTGATCGGCGGCGGCGGCTACGGTGACCGTGGTGGCCAGGAGCAGCAGGAGAAGCAGCCCTTCATGATGACGGCTCTGAAGACGGTGACCGCGGCGACGGCCGGGGGCTCGATGCTGGTGCTGTCCGGGCTGATCCTGGCCGGCACCGTCATCGCGCTCACGGTGGCCACCCCGGTGCTGGTCATCTTCAGCCCCGTGCTGGTGCCGGCGGCCATCGCGCTGGCGCTCATGGCGGCCGGGTTCGTCACCTCGGGCGGGCTCGGCGTGGCCGCGCTCTCCGTGTTCTCGTGGATGTACAAGTACCTCACCGGGAAGCACCCGCCGGGCGCCGACCAGCTGGACCACGCCAAGGCGAGGCTCGCGTCCAAGGCCCGCGACATCAAGGAGGCGGCGCAGCACCGCATCGACCAGGCGCAGGCGTCTTAGGGCGGCCTGCCGCGGCGAGGCGCCGCTTCTGCTAGCTAGCTCGATCGGGCGGCGCACGGGACGGCGCCGGCCGGCGCGCGTGCGTTCGCCGTGGCCACGCCCACGCTGGCTACTCCTCTTATCTGCTGAGCTCTGTAAATGCATGCGTACATGTTTAATTAAGCTTGGTCGCGTAGTACTCTCCTATGTAATATGTCCCCTAGATTATCTAAGAGGCGATCGTGCATGTCGGGCGCCTGGTACGTGTGGTCTGGTGGATGTCGTGTTTATGGTCATGATGAATAAAATGCAGTGTTCCTTCGATAAATCTAGTGGTTGTACTGTTTTTTTTTTTAACGATAAGGGCATGAGTTCCGCATAGGTGAAGAAAGGAAGAAAGGAGCAAACAGAAGCAGAGGAAAAAACTGGTGGAAAAAAAAAACTCTAGCCTTTTATTTTACTAAAGTATTTGGTCTTGTAGGGTAGTTGCCGAGGGCTCTCGTCTTGAACTGTCTTGAGAAGTTTGTCTACTCCACGCCTTCCAATGTTCTATGATTCAACTTTGCACGATTGTGAAATTTATAGCAGTAACAAGTCTCCAATGCTTTCGCAGAGATACGAATCCACGATGAAACAGAGCAACAAAGCATTACAATAACCTCCCAAAACGCAACTACAGATATATGAGGCCCTTTGATGGAAGTGCCACGAGCGCGACAAAGGGCCAAGGAAGAGTTTGCACTATTATACTACTAGTATTCCGTATATAAACTCTCCAACCCAAAACGACAAATGTGGACGAGGAAAAGCTACCAAACGTAGACGCAATAGTTTTTTTGGACTGCATGGGAATGACATAAGATATTGGCATGCAATTTGTTCTTTTGGGACCGCATATCACTAGAAGAAGATAGTGGTGGTAGCATTCATTTTTTTCATGTCCATCTGAGCAGGTGGGCAGGCTATGAAGACAATAGTGCAGCTCTCGGCATAAAATTCTTAAAAAACAAAGACTCCGAGGATGAAGGATCGAGTCGATTGACGGACACGTGTACAGTACTAACCAAGTCTACCGACTATTTTGATTCCGCTGTTCGACCATCCTGCGGGGGCGGTGTGGGCGTGTGGCTAAGGTGCTAAGCTCGGAAGGGGGAAGAGAATGGTGATATCACACACAAGAATTCTGGTAACATCACTGGAGATAGCTAGAGACTCGTGAGATTGTCAGATAGTAGATGCAAACACTGTTCTGTCTCGTCAATTGCTGAGTACATTTGGACATCATGAACAAGATTATTGCAGACTGGAAAAGAGTGGTGTGAATAATAAAACCTTTCTACCAGGATATGATTTCATCACTGCTTTGAAAGAGCCATGACATTGAAATTGAGTGACCCGGGGTACTGCGCAATCCTAGCTTTGATGACTTTTGCAGCGTCCTGCGTACAAAGAAGAAAAACCAGAAATCATAAACATCATTGCAGTTCTGTACCACAAAAGGATCCTTCAGGATGGCTTCTGTTTTGAAGCAAGATATTGCCGAACAGTTAGTTAAGAGAAGGTAAATTTGACTTCAACACTTGGCAAAACCACGAACATCACAATCAAGCCTTATGTGTATAGTACATAAATTTGCAAAAACATGTACAGAAAAGGAAATAACTGATGAAAATAAACAACAGAAATCAAAGATTTTACCTGCAACAAGCTATCAGGAGAGGAAGGGCCATGGGAGATTGGCTGCGAATTCCCTCCATCAAGTTCAAAAATTTCATCTGAAATAGAGAAGAAGAGTGATCAATACACTATCTGTTGCAGGCTTTTACCCAAGTTTAAGTGTTCAACTGTGGCATTATAGTAGATGGTCAATATAATAATTACCATCAACACAGGAGAAACAGACATAATGTTCGATTACTCCATCCTTGGCCTGCACAAAGTATAGGGAGGTGTGAGAAAAGAACCCAAAAACAGAACTAAATCTGGGCCAAGGACATAGAAGTAGATCTTCCACAACACTTAACAGCCATGAGCCATCCCAACTAAAATTTTGAAAGAATGCATAACATGTCAACAAACCACCTACAAAAGACACATGATCAGTATAATCCACCGCTAAAGGTAGCTTTTCCGACTGTTATTGTATTATATGAGCTGGTCAACTGGCCTATAAACAGGTTAAGAAAACTGGCTATGCAGTTAATCTGTCCGGTTCCTTGAAAACAGGTTGTTATCACTTTAAGCTGGTTACTGGCGCAGGGTGACTCTAAAACTGCTCGCAATACAGAACTACAAGCATTTGCTTGTTAACATTAAACATAATATTACTGTGTTCTCTAATGAGTTTATTAATCAACAAGGCATAAATGAAGAAAGGTGTGGCTATAATGACCTCTGTATCGCCAGCAGAAACAGCAACAGAATGAGCCTTTTCCATTTCTTCATCCTCCTCAAGAAACGAAGCACGCTGAAAATGTCAAGTAATCAACATATTAGGACAACAGATATGTCAAGATTAACCACTAACCAAAAATAACTTAATTTAATGCATGGACTATTAACCTGGGCAGGATCCATATCAGCTGTTTGTTTGTAAAATCTGTCAAAATATGACCCCTCAACTGCAAAGAAGAAAGTACAAATTATCTATAAGCCAAAATAACTCACAAAGTTACGGTAACTTTTTTTTGCATACTTAGCACAATTCTATGCGTGATGGGAAGAAGCTATAGTGCCCAATAGCATATTTGGTGATATATTCAAATTTTCATTAAGATAGGCATAGTAGCAGACGTTTGGGGTTCTTGAGGGATTATGCAAATTACTTTGGTGACCGAATGGACTGGTAAATAGCCTGACAATTTGATATTTGTTGTTTGGCAAGACAGACAGATTTACAAGGTTACGCAGAATTGCCTTGATCAGTTAAATCTTATAAATGTGTAGCCATCCAATTAAAGTAATATATAACAGAGCTGTTCTGACTTCTAAGGCATGAGGACATGTTATATAGAACACTAGGCAAATAAACATATAAACTCCTGAAATTACCAAGCTTGATTCTGGATAAAGCATTCCCTATTGCATGGATAATTCCAACTGTTCCACAGGCATTACCAATAGTCTGTTTTGTAAAGTATACATTCTTGCTGAGCTTCTGCACCGTGGAGTTATAAGATTAGTAAGGAAAACTTATACAAGGCATAAACTGAGTAACCATCTATCTAACAAAGTTTCACATGCTCTCAACATCTCCAATAAACCAAAGATCTATATAAAATAATGGTTGAACTATATATCTTCCAAATGACAATTATAAACAATCCATCACATTAGATATACAGAGGGTGAGAGGGAATAATATATTAGATAAGGTGCTTACCAATATGTATAATTTTGTTTTTTAGAATTTGGTTTGCTCCGTGCATTTTGGGGAACAAATTCAACATGTCAAGTTGCAGGTGCGAAAACAAACAAACAAATGATAATTCCATAGTAGAGTGGCTGGCACTGTGGCACACAAAATTCAATTTATTTGTAGCACTTAATGAATGGCATTAGGGGAACACAGTTGACTAGGTCCTTCGATGTTGAGCAGTATTTCGCCTTTTAGCATTCGTAGAAACACAATGCTTGCTGAATTTCATTTAACAAGTACATCAACCAGACTACAACCGAGTGCAGAGTGCTTCTGCTTCTGAATGAGGAAAAGGCGATGGGCATACTTGCTGGGGTTGCAGCCCACTATAATGAATGAACTACTAATAGCAACTCATCTCACCTTGCTCTCGACCGTGGAGGAGGGTGAAGCAACGGATTCCTTCTTCCGATCCTGCTCACAAACAAAAGTGAGGGGAAAAAATAATCAGTTGCTGTTAGGCAATCCAAAATCCCACCACCAATCGGGCATCGGGGGATCACCTGAGGATAAAGCAAGATGACGGCGAGCACGGGCTGTGGCACCATGGCGAGCATCTCGTCGTCGAGACCGTAGACGTCGCAGAACCCCGCCTCCGCGGGAACCCCTAATCCCCGCATAAACTGCGCCACAACGTAGCATTTACGCGCCGTGAGCGCGAAAGGCGGAGAGAGATCGAGATGGGGGAGGGGAGAGGAGGCGTGAGACACAGGTAGACAGGTAGTACCTGGTTCATGACCTCCGGGTTGGCCTCGAGGGGGAGCCAGCGCTTGCCCATGGCGGCGGACGTGCCGGAGGAGGGGAAAAATCGCGCAAAAAAAGAGAAAAGCGCGGTGGAGGCGCATGCCAATTAGGTGTCCCCCCCCCCCCCCCCCCCATTTAAATTATTCTCCTCGCTTCGTCATAAAATATATAGTCGGTTGATCTAATAAATCAAAATAAAACCAAAATTTAAATTTTTAACAAATTAAAGTTAATTTTAAAATATTTTCAACGTATTTTTTTAGCATCGAGTTTTAAGTCGCCACGAATAAATAAATATATAAAAGTTTTATCTATAAATTAATTTTTATTAGGGAATGTGGATAACCAATGGCTTATATTAGAGAATATGGGCAACCAGTGAGACTCCTGCTATATTTTGAAATGAAGAGAGTAATAAAACTTAGAATCACTACCAATGATAGCGAAACAAATGACTAATGAGGACTAATTCAGAAATTATGTTCGATACGTTCCAACGAAAACTCAACGTTGTCAGTGTAGTAAAAGGTCGATCCATAATTCCACGGTAAATGGCACAAGAAAGAATGCACATTGAACTTTGATCTGCGACTATTAAACAGACTGAGCTTATACGCTACTAGTTCCAGAAATATCCATCGTTGAGGCCTTCCTGGAACGCAATTGTTAGCCCATGTTTCAAACCAGACTGTTAGATAGCACTACACTACAGAAACAGCACAGGGGGAGAAGAATTCAAACATGCAAACATATATCAACCTAATTCTGGCCAATTCAGAATTTCAGATCCGATAATTTTGCTGCCGTGGTGCGACAAACACCACCAGGTCAAGCACATCGAATCACAACACCAAACTGACCAGCCCCAGCAGTTTTGCAACCAACAGCTTCTCTTGTCACTAGGCAAGTACAGCACAACCCTAGAAGAACTCAAAGTCAAGGTATTTCCCACCGGACTTCATGTCCGCGCCTACCATCCTCTTGCTGTTGCTCCCAATCGCCTCCGCCACGCCGTACTTCACGGGCAGCTCGGCCTCGACGGGCCTGGGAACGTCGGGAGGCGTGCTGCACCGGATGAGAGCCCAGTTCACGCCCTCGAAGAACGGGTGCTGCTTGATCTCCGTGGCGCCCCTCTTCACGCCCAGGCGGTGCTGCGGTTCCTTCACCAGGAGCCCCTTGATGAGGTCTCTGCTCGCGTAGCTTGTCGACGGCGACTCTGGGAACCTTAGCTGCTGACCGACCACGTTGAAGAGGGTAGCACGGTTGCCTGACCCCTTGAACGGCGTCTTGCCGTATAGAAGCTCGTGCAAGAATATACCGAAGGTCCACCAATCAACGGCGCTTCCATGGCCTTCGCCTTTGATGATTTCTGGAGCCAAATACTCGTGGGTGCCAACGAACGACATTGATCGGGCTGATGTTGGCTCAGCAACTAGTTCGGGCATGGTCGTGGCACTCGGTCCCAGCTCGGACCTTGTCTTTTTAGTTTTCTTCTTGCTCTTCTGACCAAACAATTTGGGCATGAAGCATGCGGGTTGAATGCAGACTGAAGTGGGTTCCATGCAAACAGGTTGTACACAGAATGAACCACCAGCTCTTCTTGGATCAGAATCAAAAGCTGATGCTCTGATCAGTGTAGGCGAGACTGCACATCTCAAGGAGAGGTCGAAATCTGAAAGCATTATGTGACCATCATCACGAACAAGAACGTTCTCTGGCTTCAGATCCCTGTAAACAACTCCCAACATGTGTAGATACTCCAGAGCTAGAAGTACTTCTGCAGCATAAAACCTGCTCGGAATCAGAGCATATAAATGTTAGTGCTAGCAATGGCCAGGTATAAGCTGTTCAAGTTCAGTATGGCAAACTAACATTATAGAGTTAAAAAACTGGAGCAAAAATAGGATCAGAACATGACTGAATATTATTTTACACATGCTATGTTGGCCACACATGAGATGGATTGCATTATATCAAAGTCAACAAATGGAATACATGCAATATTAGTGAACACCAACCAGAGTAAATTTTTGGATCAACATTTCACCATCCATCAGTTTTTCTACCTTTTCTCCACATCACCTCACAACTGGCATAATCCATTTTGATTTTGAAAGTTGCTAATAGCTTCTCTATGAAGCTCCACAGACTAGCTTCCTGTAAAATTTATTATGTCCATATGTTTGTTTTTCATTGAGGAAACTTACATTTTTAACTTGAGGAGTGATAATGCTTTAGACTCAAGAACCTCCAAAAGGTTTATAAGAGCTTATCTAGATTAAAACAGATTCTAGAAAGTAAAGATATTAGTGAGAAGGTAAGCATAGTGGCACAGCGGTTAAGGAGAAAAACAACAGAATTCTACTCCAAACAAATTATATTTTGCTGAAGAACAAAGTCGTAGTTCAAATAGATCACCTTGCAGCATACTCGGAGAAATGTTTTCCTGCCTGTCTCTGTCGCAGCGTGTGCAAATCACCACCTGGACAGAATTCCATGACCAAACACGAGAATCTGTCGGTCTCAAAATGTGTGTACAGAGTTGGAAGGAATGGATGATCCAGAAGCTGCAGAATCTCCCTCTCAGTCTGTGCCCTGTTCAATTTCTTCCTACTTGCCAAGGAAGCCTTGTCCATTACTTTCATTGCAAAGTAGCACCTTGTCCCACTCAACTCTGAGAGATAAACACTGCCAATGTCACCACAGCCTAGACGCTTGAGCAGTCTGAAATGGCTCATTCCAAGCACACCATCTCGAGTCCGTACAGCATGTATTGCCTTCCATCTAGGATCATTACCCTTGTGAGGCTTACTAGCACCTCCAGTGATATTGCTCCAGCTGCTGTCATCACTAACACCACTGCTATCACTTGCTCGACTCATGCTGGTTTTTGCACTTTCTAGAGAGTCACCTCTAACGCTGCCCTTCACACTCCCACAGTTCCTCTCCATCGTAGGCACTGGTTCACTGGATACGGCTTCACTTTTATATGTGCTGGTACAGCTGCTCATAGTGTTCATCGCCGTGACTACACCCATGCTGTCAATGCTACTGTGAGGGCTCACATTGCCGCTGGGAGGAAGCGAGGCATCCCAGACACAGTCCTTCTCCTCTGAATCTGGAGGCAAGGACACAGCTTCTGTAGCTTGCGATGACCGCGCCGTTGCCAATGATGGCACCGCAGCACCCGGCACCTTCATCTCTTCAGCCAAACCATCAGCACTGCCTGCACCTACCACTGCATTGGCCTTCATGCCTGTAACACAGATCGAAAGGTCATCTATGAATGGCCCTTTCGCCGATACTCCTCGCACTAAACACACCGGTTGCTCGGATTTCTCCTCATCAATTGCGACATAGACCGTCTTCATAAGATCCATATCAATTGGTTCCAGGGGGTGACTGGCCCCTGAGAAAGAACTCCGGCCACCTTCGTCTGAGGAATCCAGGCTCAGAAAACTCTCCTCACCATCAGCTGGAAAATCCTTCTCATCCTGCTGCTGCTGCTGCTGCTGCTGGGAGCTCTTCCCTTTCCATGACGCCTTTATCGGTATTGGTGCCTCCAAGCTCTGCACCTTCCTACCAGTGACCATCAAAGGTTCTTTGGGCTCAGCAATCTTATCTACTATCTCCATTCAATTTTAGCATAACAAGTGCACAGCCACTAATTGACCCCCTCTTCCCAGTTCAACCAAACAAGGCAAATCTGCAAGCAATTATCTCCTACTGAACTGCCCTACCAACAGGATTCCTGGAGACCAGAGAATCAGATTTCAGCACGGAGAGGCGGAGAGCACTTCACCTGCAACGAGCACAATGATTAAGGGAATAAACAAGACCAAATTTCTCTTCAATCCAACGGGTTCCAAGAATCCAACCTGCTTCCAGGCTAATTATTGGGCACCAAGCGTAGCGACTGAGACTCCCTCTGAAGTAGGACAAACTCCACCCTGCATAAACACGGAAGCGCCGTCCAATCCACCAAAATTAGACGTTGCTTTCTCAAGAAAAACAATATCCCAAACAATAACACACCAAATTACGCCAAAACTTCCTTAAATCTCAAGATTCCCAAACCGAGGGAGAAAACCCCCCAAAGAAACATACCCACCCACATTTAGATCCTCCTCGCGCAGAGAGGAGAGAAAGAAAAGAATCAACCCAAAAAAAAACTAGCAAAAAAAATGGAACCAAAGAATCACCTCGAATGCAGGGAAGGGGGAGATCCCTAGGGAGAACTCGGGGTTCTTGGTTCTTCTCCACTGCCTCGCTCGCCGCCAGTGGCCACCGCCAACCAGTGTTACTGCTGCTGCCTGCTGGTACTACCACTCCTCGAGTAACTCCGCACCCACACGCACTCTCGTGCCTCGCGTCTCGCCTCTCTTCTCTTCTCTCTCGCGATGAGGAGGGGAGGAGTGGCGTGGTGTGGTCGAGTGGAGAAGGGAAAAGCAAAAGCGAAAGGCGGGGGGGGGAGTTAACTGTGCGGTGTGGGCCATGTGATAATTTGCTTCCTTTTGTTTTTCAGAAATTAAAAATTTAAGAAACGGGAAAGGGGAAAAAAAACTGAAAAAGGCATCCGCGTGAGCTGCTACAGGCCTGCAAGCCTACGACCCTGACAAATGATTCCCGCTGCTAATCTCCAATTACTTTCCCTAATCAAACGGCTTTGTTCCCGCAAAAAAAAAAAAATCAAACGGCTTTGTTCCCTTCGGTCCTTTCTTTTTCTTCCTGTTTGCTGATCCAACACCCAAGCTGCAGCAGTAGAGCCTGCTATGAGCTCTTCATACATACTAGTAGGCTCTTAAATTTAAGATTCTAAAAATCTAAAAATCTGGAGAAGCTAGATTTTTCAGCCTCTGGATTCTAGTTTATTTTCTAGATTTTACAACTACAGATTATTAGAATCTGAGTGACAATATTAATCGTTTGGAGAAGCTAGAGATTTTGAAAGAAACTGCAGCAGTTAAAAGCACCTTCAAATATATCCTTACTTAGAGACTATTCTCTTACAATAATAATAAGACAACAAAACCTCTTAACCATTAATTCACCTAAATATTTTTTATTACTTTTCTTTCCTTCTCTATTCTATGCAATAAAATTTTCTTTAATAAATGCTAAGAGTTAACTCTAAGCCGTTATCATGCGTAGCAACCATGTTTCTCTTTTCTCTCATTTTCTTTTCCATATCATCAAATTTATACTTGCATAGTAACGGATAAAGTCCGTTAATAAGCACTGTTGTACATGTCTTATGGGCACGTACCAAGGTTTTCATTAGCCGTCTCTCTCAAGTGCCAAATCAGCTAATTAAATGGTATGAGAAAAAGAGAGAGAGGAGGATAGAGAAACAAACGATGTTTTGGTTGACATCAGCTAAACGGCGACCCTACGGTGAGAAAAAAGCGAGGAGACGAAAGTACCGGCACAGTTGTACATTGATTTTTGGCGCGAGAAACCATCGCCCTCAACTTTTCTCTGCATCCCCAAATCGAAGCTGAAGATCCGGGCGACGCCATTCCTCCGGCCGAGAACATCAAGCCGCCCTCCGTCGCGCCACCGCTCGTCCTCCCCTGCTCCATCGCCGGAAGCTTGGGTTTCTTGGATGTTGGACATGAGCCAGCGGACGCCCCAACCCTACTACCTCTTCACAGCGAGCCACCGGCGAACGCGTCGAGCGACGGCTCCGATTTCATCAGCAACAACGGCCTGGTCCGCAAGAATCCCAACTTTTGGATGTTATCCAGGATGGTTACCATGCCGCCCTTGCCTACAACCAAGCAACCAAAATACTGCAAGTTCTTTTCAAAAACCAAAATACTGCAAGACGAAAGAGAGGACTGTGTTTTGCTAATTAGTGTATTATAGTTTTCTATATATTTAAGATAATTATATGAACATATATGAAAGGAAAACATCATTGCTATTTACTAAGGTTAAAAAAAAAGAAGATAAACCCTATGCTTTGCCATTAACGAGTGATCCTCAACGATACTACTGCGAAATGGCACCGTATAAGCGTTATTATTTCCTTTTGTTTATGGCCATCGATTGCCCTCCAATAACTCCATACAAAAAGACAGATATTGCACGTCTAAAGGTAAAATAGTCCTTTTTATAGGATCAATTAATGGAGCTCAACTAATTGTCAATTGACGGCAATGGTAAGAAGAGGAAAAATACTTATACAATCATATTTGGTTCTGCTTACGTTATCAATGATAGGTTATAGAATTGGTCGCTTGTCAATAATGAAACCTACAATTTTCAAAAATAATGCCATCATCAATAAACAATACTGATGTTAGCACTAATTTTGTTTGTTTTGGAACGAAAGAGGTACTAGTAATAAGGTGTTTGCTGGTGTGAACTAGTGAAATTACCGTTGAAGTTTTTTTCCTTGAAAAATGATTGTTTTTTCACGAGGAAGAACGGGGAATGGGCCGAACGTTTCCGACACGCTTGGACCCAATGCGTGGGACCATGTTGCGACTCTTTTCGACTACAAGAGGCCCACCCTGTCACTATCCCTTGGGAGTAGTGCGGACAAACAAAAGCATAGTGAATGGTTGCATTAATGACGCCTAATCAACTTTAATTCTTTTTACTTACGCCTAACCACTATCTCTCCTTTGTTGTTTTGCCTTAAAAATGAAGTATCCTATCAGGAATTAACTGGGTTTGGTTTCCTGATCTCCCTATCGTTCATAAAAAAAATGCTGTAAGACTAGGTTTAGTTAGTTTAGTTTTTTATTACAGATTCTGTAAAAAAAACATATTATAAATTATCTATAAAACCAATATTTTCACTTTAATATCTCACGCAGAGAAGTAAACAGAAACCAAATAAGGAGAGAAGTCACAATCCATAGAACTGAAGTTAATGGATAATACTGTTTCTCTTTTGGATATACCGTACCAAGTGGGCATATATTTGTGGGCTTTCAGGCAGGTGGCGGAAGAAACCATTAGCAAACTAATCAAAGGATCAACTGCAAATATAGGTGGATTTAGATATGATAAGGTGCCTGATTGCCCGTGATGCACAATGTGGCAGTCGTTGTCAGGACAAGAAGACAAGTCGTCAACTCACCCTACATAGGATGTCCTCCTCTTTAGCTTTTTCTTGCTCTCTTCCCTTCCCTGTAATGCCATCGCACCTGTGGCATGTCCTGTCTTTCCTTTTAGACTCGCTATAGTTTTGTCTATTGACCGAGAAAAAATGTTTTCCAAGTGACACTGCTTTTCTTATCCATCATCTTGTGTCGCTGCTCGCTGGGAATCCGGATCAGGTGCAGTCGCTGCTGGGACTGCAACTTAGGCAGTACCAGTTTTCATTAACAGATGCAAATGGAACGGTCCAGATCAGTGAGGCATACTGTTCATAGCACTGTAGCAAAACACTGTATCACAGAATACTGTTTGTACGGTCGCTGTATCACTAGATCTGAGCCATTGATCACTGAAATGGACGGCTGAAATTGCTTGCAGTTCTTAAGTTGCAGTCACAGCTATAACTGCACCTGATCTGAATCCGGACGGGTGAGGTGATCGGGTAATTTGAGGACCACAGTTTCATTAACAAAAAAATCCTGAAGAGTGGGAAACTGACCTGATAGTTAATCAGGTTTAAACACTTGTTGCTCCTCCATTACTTCGTTTCTCCGGGCTCCCAGTAGCACGGATGTTCATGTCAAGTAAGCTGTTTGCCTGCGTACGAGAAAAAAACATTTGCAGGGTTCAAATTCGCACAAAAGCTTTTCATCCTAGATTCGTAGACCTACGAAAATAGCAGGAGACCAAAAACTCCATTCGTTCCAGCTGGATTAGCAAAGAAATAAACCCACGCACAGTACGACACGAGAGTGTGCTTCTCCCTATTTGATCAATTAATCCTAGAGAAGAAAATAACACTAGCATACATTGGCTAAAAGAGTATATAAATTGAATTGACCTGACCTGAAAGTGATCGGACATAGAGCCAAAGGGGACGTATCAAAAACAGAACAGGCAGAAAAGATAAGGGAGAAAAATCCAAAATGAAAATAAATCACGGACCTGGACAACGATCTATCATATGCGCATACAAATCAGCAGGTGTCATAGGATTCCCATGCTTCCACACTGCCCGATTCTGCAACCAGATTTCCGGGAGCAGCTTCCATGCACCGCCTGCACCTCCAGTTTCATGATCAGATTCATGGTGTCAATGATGCCTCATCTGTTGCATGTGATCCTGAAGCACAGCAGATGCAAAATGCCAGTATCATCAATAAGACAAGTATATCTATAGTCCACGCCAATAAACTCGAAATTGTCAACTTTGTAGTGAACATTTTTTTGGATAAAGCTCAGGTTCCATTGTTCTTAATATCATATAGCATGATTTCTTTGCACTAAATTTTCTCTTTCCTATAATGCTCTCTCTAGGAAATGGTGCACGGTGCACAGCAGAAAAGGAACAGCTCAAAAGTTAAGCATGGATCATCATCAAATAGAAATAGGTGCATGATATAATGATTAGCTTTAGATTTTAAAAAAGCTGTGCCCATTAGTGAAACTAGTAGCATGTGGCATTGGGATTACTCCTACTCAAGAAATAACCGGTGGCCCACTGGGTCATTTCTTTTTGACAAAGTTCTTGGCAATTGGCAAGCAGTGTATGTCTAATCAGGCAACAAATTAGCTTGCTTCTTTTCTTGTTCCCTCATCCCTGGCCCTCCATCCATCTGGGCACTGGCAACAAGGAAAGTTGCAAAGTCATATTCTGATGTTCCAGGGTCATGCATCTTATCGCACCCATGATGCCTAGGTGCTTCAGGCTAAAGAAACTCAGATGTGAGGTTGTGGGCTTTCCTCCACCATAACCATTACGAGTCAAAAGAAACTTTGCTAATTTTTACCTCACAACTCATCACGGTTGCCATGCGCGTCAGGCAGGAATTGCTGGCTCTGAATCCGCCTGCTGCTCCACATAATCACATCCTGTTCTGAGATGCACAAAAGTAGCCCCTGGCAGCCCACCCACAGCAAGACACAGAGACTTAAAATTTAAGGTAGAAGTAAGGCTAAAATTTTGCTATTATGTGCTGCTTCACAGATAATATTTATTGTTTTCTTAGGTGCTGTTATGTTAGTATCAAATATTCTAGTTTGGTTAAGTTCCTAAAAGATTAGGGAATAAAGTACTGCAATTCTACAGCCAACAATAATAATACATAAACGTGGGATGTTGGAGAATACCGTACCAAAAATCAAGTGAACAGTTCAAATAGAAGAAATAATAAAAAATATATAATGCACACAGATAGATAGGCTCAGGGGATAATAACTCCAAATAAAGAAGAAAATAAATGGATTGAGACCAACAGGCAACAGCCGTATGTTTGCTCTTCAAGAACTGTTGTCATATATCATCAGTTCATGTACTGTCATTCATAGATGTGAAACCTATTCTCAAATGTCAAAGATGGTGTGCTCTACTTACTCTATGTTAGTGTTCTAAATAATATAAAATTTAAATCAACCTCATGCAAGAATTTTAATGTCGTGAATAAAGATGAACAAACCTGAATGAGTGAGTGAGATAAAAAAAGACTGCATGAAAACAGCATAAGAACTTAAGATGATCACAAAACAACAAATTCATACAGATGATCACAAAAGCAATAATATCAGATTCATTGAAACCTCTTATATAATCACTTAGACAATGTGCAGGTGTACTGTACATCTTTAAAATTCTAATACATCTTAGGTGATGCTTTTTTAACAACATGTTGAGACTGACCTGAATGGGTTGTAGTGGAAACAGATCAAAATTTTAAATAGATCAACCCATGGTCTCCTCAGGTGGTGTAATACCATTGAAGTAATGCTCACAGGAGAACACATATTAGCAGTGCTTATGAGTGGTAATGGGAACTCTGAGAGAGTAAATACTTAAATTCATAATGAGTTGTGTGATCCGTTTGAAGTGACACACTGCACTCCGCTTAGTTGTCAAATTGACTGCATCACATAATGGAAAATGTCAGGGGAGCAACCAAAACAGGGTTCAGGGAAAAGAAAAAGGGATATGTCCAGGTATGTAGAATGATATTCTTTTAAGGATATTATTGGGTTAACCTGTTACAGCAGAAAACTTTATGTTCAAATCAGAAAAAAAAAAACTTGAAGCAGAACTGGGCAAGAGCATATTCACAAGATTCCCTGTTCAGCTATTATTGGCGGAACCAATTGTAAAACTCGTTACTAGGAATTGGGAACAGGATCTGACCATCTTCAGATCCTGTTCCCAATTCAAGTATTTATCTCTAAATTTATAATCACGGTAGAACTGACTTAAAAAATATCATGATAGGGCCATTCTAAGCTAGAAAGTACCAAAACTGAAAGAATTTTCAAAAATCAAGAGTGGAAGAACAAGAATAAGAATCATTGGGGCAAAGTCAATTTCATTATCTTCTGAAGGTTGCCGAGAGACTTTTAAGGTACCTAGATAAGCACCATCATAATTAGATGGAATAATTTCAAGGACCTACAAGGAAAAGTTATTGGCACCAGGAACTGAGACGCTTGTAGTGATTGCTTGTACAATAGTTAAGAGGAGGGGGGGTTCTTCACCACCAGAAAGGAGCCGGATCGATTTTAGAGATATTTATACTCCATTTCCTGGCCCAAACAAAATATCAAACAGTTCTGCAGTGCAGATCTTTTTATTTTCTTAAAAGATCAATTTACATCTTCTGGCAGTAAAATGGAAAAGTCGAATATGTTAAAATTAAACCAGACTTAAGGATCAACGTAACATACTGGCACTCATTTATTGATAGCTAGGTAGAACAACAACTAACTTGCAACCACCTCCTTGCATCCTTGCAGAAGTGCATGCTTCACTCAATTATGAAAATAGTAGTATAACTTGAGCTTCTCCATATGACGGGTTCTATAATATCCTACACCTAATTCTCAAATTTCCATCCCAGTTATTCCTAATTCACCACCATATCAACCATGGTGCTGCTAGATACTGCTTCAAACAAGTTATCAACCAAGGTCGATTGATAGTGCTACATACGGCTTCAAAACACAAAACGGTACTTAAAGAGAACATGGGGGCCTATATCCCCATGAAAACTGTTAAAACATCCTCTGTACTATAAGCTCCTAGACTAAATGCAGAGACATAACAATCAGTAAAGATAAGCTAAATTTAACTCAGTAAGGCACTTGGCATAAAATTGAATAGCTGGATACATAAAAGCAATCACCCAATTATCTGCCAATTTGTCAAACTTATGATAATTCTCATGCTATTTAGAGAGGGCTATAAGTATATGTTTTGCACCATCAACCACAGACTGACCAGAGAAACTAAACATCCTGAATAGCTTTCTACATCTCAAGCAACTAATATACAAGTACATCAAAATTTCGATGGAGCTAGCTACTCACAGTGATAGCCTTCTGAAACATCTCCTTCATGAGCCAGATAAGACTCTCTTATGAATATTCATGAGTTGAAACCTCTCCTTTGGAGGCAACAACTTGAACCATATTGCTGACATCCAGGAGTCGTTAACATTTCAGAACAACGAAATTCAGCAAGTGAGAATCATCATGCAATGTCAATCATACATATCCCGTTCGTTGTCCTCATCATCAGTATTGTCTTCATATCCACCAATATCCATTCCAAAGCACTCAACGTCAGCATCTTCATCCATCCCTTCTCCGTGAAACTCTTCATCTCCATCCATCACAACCTCCTCATCACCATCCTCATCCAAAACAAGCTTGGACAAGCCTTTCCCCCGGAACAGCACGCCAGTACGCATCACATAGAACACCTTGTCTCTCACTGCCGCAAGGGGATGCTGCTCCACCAGCTTACCCCTCTCGTACCCCTCCCGGAGCACCACCGTCGTCGTCTTGCACTTCAACGACAGGTAGAAAACCCCAGGGTACCGCGTGAACAATCTCGTGAACTTGTGCGGCAGGCCCAATTCCTCCCGGAGCAGCCGAATCGCGTTCCTCCGAACCATCTTGTGCACCATCAGACCGAGCAGCTCGTGCAGCAATCCAATGTTCCTCTTCTCGTAGATGTCGCTGTCGGGATCGATCCCTGACGCGTCGTCGTACGGGGAGATGTACGGAAGCCTGTGGAACTCGTCCATCCAGGCCTTGACCTTCTTCATCCCGCCATACCCACGCGGGAACCGCATCGGGAAGGCGAGGGGGGCGATTGACGAGGACGGCGGCCGAGACAGCGCGCGGTAGGTCGCTCCCTCGATGGCCTCGGCGTGGCGGCGCTGGAGGGAGGAGATGGCGATGCCCTCGGGGAGGCCGGAGGCGGTAGCGGACAGGGAGATGTGGTTGTTGGAGACGGCGAAGAGGTCGGGGTGGGCGACCGGGAAGGCGGCGGCGAAGTTGTAAGGCAGGCCGAGGTCGAAGCGCAGCGGGAGGACGGAGGCAAGCGGGAGCGACTTGGAGCGGGTGAGGAGGAGGAGGCGGGCGAGGCGGAGGTGCGAGTCGAGCGCGGAGGCGCGGGCGAGGCGGCCGAGGAGGATGTCCGAGGCCGGCGTGAGGGAGAAGGACGGGAGGGTCGGGAAGCGCGGGTGCAGGGTCTCCGCGAAGAGGGTGGGGTGGCGGCGGAGGAAGCGGAGCACGGGCACGGTGAGGCCAAGCGGCTTCTGAAGGCGCGCGAGGGAGCGCGCCGGCACGGGCGACGACGACGGGAGGCGCGCGAGGTGGTCGAGCAGCAGGCAGGACGCCCTGATGGAGGTCGTGCGGGCGATGATGTGGTCCAGGCCCCGGTTCTTCACCCACTTGAGCCGCACCTTCTGCATAGCTGCGGCGGCGAGGGTCGGTGGCCTCGTGGGGGAAGCGGCGGCGGCGCGGGTCGGTGGCGTAGTGGAAGGAGTAAGCGGCGGCGGGGCGCGCGTGCTGCTCGGCGAATTGCGGAGGGGGGACGAGGCGAAGCGGGCAGGTTGGGCCAATGTAGTTCTAGATCTTTCTGGGCCTTCGCCTTGATGGGCTTTTATCAAAAAAAGGCCGAAAGCCCAAACCAGACCACTCTCAAAAGTGCTCCGCTATCACGTGACCTCCCTGCTCTAGGACCACAAACTGCAGTTCGAGCAAGTTCTTTTGCCTCCTCCAATGTTACCCATCTCCCTACCCAACCTGAAGTAAACTCGTGGGACCGCACAATGTTGGGCCCATATGTCATGAAGGAAACCCACCAGTGCGTTGGGGTAGGTTTGCCTGTCGTGGCTGGAAAGAAAGAGTTCGAAGCCAATCCCAGCCAAGGCGCGGGCTCCAATGCTCTGTACTGCCCACGTGACCGGAAAAAAATCTGGTGCAAACCGGGTGCAAACAGCAGTCCGTGCAGCCCCGACGTGGATGCATGACGCGTGGATGGGGCGCTCATCCGACGGCGGCCCACACAAGCGAGTTCGCATCACACCTCAATCTCAGCTTGGCTCAAGAGCGATCTCAACACCCCACAACTCGGCTCGCGCTCGCTCCAATCGGCTCGATCTAGTGCGAGATGGAGTGGGCGTTCCCCTCCGCCTGTTTCTTATCCCGTCGCCCCTTTCTCATCCGCAGTTGGGCGCGTGGAGACGGAATGCGGCGGCGGCTCCCTCGGACAGCTAGGGCAGTGGCGGCGCCCTCCCGTGCCTGGAGCAGGGCAGTGGCGGCGCCCTCCCATGCTTGGAGCAGGGCAGCGACGGTGGAAAGGCCAGGCGGCACCCTCCCGTGCATTGAGAGTTTCATAGTTGATTGCTCGGTTTTGGTTTTCATTGCGGTAATTAGTCATGGTCACTAGATTCTGGTTTGATTGCTCAGTTTTGGTTTTCATTTGATTAGGTAGTAAGCCTAGCATCTATCATTGCAGCTTGATAGTGTTAATTAGTACTAGTTTGAGACAATCGGTTTTTGTTTTGCATAAACAAAACAGACATTCTGTCTTGGCAACTCGCTCGGTGCCTGGCCGACCAATCATCATATCATTAAAATTGTTGGACATTTTGCAAAGTGGGGTAGTAGGCTCACATCAAAGTTGGGCCAATGTAGTTCTAGATCTTTCTGGGCCTTCGCCTTGATGGGCTTATCAAAAAAAGGCCGAAAGCCCAAACCAGACCACTCTCAAAAGTGCTCCGCTATCACGTGACCTCCCTGCTCTAGGACCACAAACTGCAGTTCGAGCAAGTTCTTTTGCCTCCTCCAATGTTACCCATCTCCTTACCCAACCTGAAGTAAACTCGTGGGACCGCACAATGTTGGGCCCAAATGTCATGGAGGAAACCCACCAGTGCGTTGGGGTAGGTTTGCCTGTCGTGGCTGGAAAGAAAGAGTTCGAAGCCAATCCCAACCAAGGCGCGGGCTCCAATGCTCTGTACTGCCCACGTGACCGGTGGCTTCAACTATAAAAGCACCTCACCGCCTCGCAACCCATTCCTCGCCTCGCCTTCCTCTCCGGCCACCGCCGCTCCGCTCCCTCACCAACTCAATCTCGAGCTCTCCGCGGCGAAAAGCTAGGGTTTCCTCTCACCAAGCCGGCAAGCCCGGTTCCTCCTTCCCCCACGCGGCGATGAAGAACGCGCCGAGATGTTTGTGCCCCCTCGTCTCCAAATGCGGTTTTCCCTTCGGTTTGGTTGGTTTCTTTGTTTCGATTGGATTTTTGGTTTCTAATGTCTCGCTGGGTGTGTGCGCGCAGATCGATTTGGGGGCGCCGGGTTCCTGGAGCTCGAGCGAGGCTACCAGCCGTGGGTGATCCCCAAGTCCGAGGCGCGAGGCGGAGCCGGCCACGCCGTGAAGAAGGTGAAGCGCTGGCTGAGGAAGATGGACGAGCAGATGGACTACGAGTTCTACGACTGGAACCTCCGCTCCTACCGCTTCAAGTCGCCCTTCGATCGCCGCCCGCTCGTCGGCCCCCGTGAGCGCTGCAGGTATATATCTCGTTTTGCTCGCTTGCTCCCGTTGGATGAGACGCGGTTGATGGGATTTTGGGGGCTTATTTCGGACGGGTCGCCGTGCGATCGTCGGTGTTTTGCGGTTTTTCCCCCTGTGCAGGAAAAACGCCGCGAAGCGCACCCTCCGTTTGGTCGGGCTCACCGACCCGGACTACCTGCTTCAGTGGTGGGCGACCGCAACTTGATCTGTTCTTTTCTGTAGGTGATCGAGGTGGTAGTTCTAACGCTACTTGTTACTGATGTTATCTGTTTGTTTCTCCTGGTGTGTTATTGCAGTGAGGACGCTGCATTTGGTGATTGGGAGGACAGCTGTGAGGACGAGGATGAGGTCTTCGAGTGGTAGTACCATCAGGTTGTGATTCTGCTCATTCTATTGTCGATCAAAGCTTTGTGTTTTGATTTGTTCCTGCTGTGGATCGAGTAGCACACCTTTGCAATAGATGGAATCCATTCTCAGAATGCCATTGCAGCTTGTGTCGTTTGATCGATGGACACTCCATAGAGCAGAATCCATTCCAGCAATCCAACTTTGCTTTGCTCCTGTTCTGTGGAGTACGAATATAGATTGAATTGCAGAGGATACTAAATCTATAATCATCATACTGAAATAGTTGTGTGTTTATTGTGCAACTTGTGTTGTTTGATCAGTGGACGCTCACTACAGTAGAATGCATTGATTTGCTCCTGTTATGTGTAGACTGTAGTAGGAGTACAGATTTGACTTGCAGAGGATACTTAATAGATACTTCTCAAATTGAACTGGTTGTGGGTTTGTGCAACATATAAATATATAATGGTTATTTTGTCCTAATACAGTTATACTCTACGTTAGTCAAGAACTTTCAGATGGTTTCGTAGTTAATATGTGTTTCAGAGTTGGGTATAGTTTGAAGGTCCACTTATTCATTGCTTCCTGATTAGTCTAGTAACATGTGAATATACAAGATAATCTTAGGATATCCATATGTCCTTACTTCCCAATTTAGATCATTCTGCATGTTATTATAGACCCAAATGTATACTGTGCATTGATCCTGCCACAACAACATAAATTTGCTGATGTGATCATTCTCACTGCAAGTGCGTTCAATATTTTTTTTAACAAAGGTGCATTCAACAATAGGCTAAAGGTTAGAATTAAAATTATCTTTGCTTGGACCGGTGCCATTGCCATTTTGAACATTGTACTACTTAGTTTTTTTTTATCTGGGCTGTGCAGTTTGATTGCTCCCATTTACAGTATCAATATCTACATGTCTAAAAAAAACAGTATCAATATCAGTTTTACCCCTATGATCACCTTAGCCTTAAGAATCAGGAGGGTGTTTTTTGTTACCAGGACCCCATTTTTTTTACCTGTACAAAATCAATCCAATACATGTTTGGTATGAAATTGATGAATGTTAATTCTGTTTTTTTTTTGGGGCAACACGTTAACTCTGTTCAAGCCTGTATTTATGGTTATAAGCATCTATTTGTTGTTTGCCCTTAAAGAACTTTTGAGGTTCTAGCACAACATCAGCTACCTTCATGCATACATCAAATTTGTAGTTTAGCTAATTGGCTTACAAGTTCTTTTGTTGCTATGCAGCAAACCAACAGATCGAGCAAGGGAGTAAGTAGTACAGTTGGAGGATGGCCTTTGTCTCAAGAAGTTGGACGCACATATCTGACAAGTAGTAGCAGTAGTGGTAGTATGTTTTGAGTACCAGAAACTTCCTGCTGAGAGAGAGAGCGTCGGTCTGTAATAATAGTTTTTGCACTCTCCGTTCCCAAATCCTATCTCATCACGTATTCGCAATGTGACAATGTCGGATATTTCACCAATATTATCTGCAGAAAAGAACTTTTTTCGTCTCATTCACATGACCATATCTTGATAATTTAGGCCAATGCATCAGCATGTCATCTCGACAAACTGATACCACAAGGAATGCACGAAATGGCACTGTGAGGAGGGTAACTGTTTTAACAGTTCGAGTGGACGTCCACCTATTTATTACATGTCATCTAAATGATTATGAAAAATTTTCTATCTTGTCAATTTTTTTGAAATTTTTTCGTAACTATTTAGATGACATGTAATAAACGGGTGGACGCCCACTCGAGTTATTAGAATCCATATCCCTGTGAGGAACTAAATCGTGAGTCAGTTATCCTAAAGACCACAAACACCGCATGTAGCATGTGCACCCTTGAACCAAATCAAAAAAATGTACAAAAAAGAATAGGAAAAATCGATAATCTGAGTTGCTTGCTCAACCTCTGTTTGTCTTAAGTATACTAATACAAGAGGCACCAGTTCATTCCGCAATCCCACAAGGCATCCAGCTCTGGACCTTGTCATGATCGCCTTGTCCAGAATGACGCTGGACTGGATGGCCTACAACAGTCTGATCTGGCAAACCAGTTATAATTATTCGGTCAGTCCGCTCCCTAAATCAAATAGTAGGGTGTGTTTAGTTTACACAAAATTAAAAGTTTGGTTGAAATTGATAAGATGTGACGGAAAAGTTAGAAGTTTGTATGTATAGGGAAGTTTTTGATGTGATGAAAAAGTTGGAAGATTGAAGAAAAATTTTGGAATTAAACTCGGCCTAAGCCTAATTTAGAACTCTCTCTGTTCCTGAAAGGAAAAAGTCCACTTTGACTCCCTTAAAAGTCACCCGAATCTAATCCGTGACCCTCAACCGTAAAACGGATAGGGATGACTCCCCGAACTATTCAAACTAGTGCAATTCGACTCCCTGAGCGGTTTTTCTGACGTGGCAGTATTGACCCGGTCTTCATCCCACGTGGCGCTTATGTGACATTACAATGAAAAATATTTTGTGGGACCCGTCTGTCATTTACACACAAAATGATATTGTGGGACCCACATGTGCTTGTTTTTGCTGCTGCTGCCAACCTTGCTTGCTGCCCCCTGCGTGTGCCCTGTGCTGCTGCTGCTTTTGCTGCTTGCAGCCGCACCCGCTGAACATGCCGGTGCAGTTGAACCCGTGCGCCACATCGCCGGTGCCGAACACCGCGATGAGCCCGATGAGCCCTTCGTCCAGCCGTTCCTTGACGCAGTAGTCGATGGCCTCCTGCAGCCCGGCGCCCCTGAACTCCATCACGGCGGCGACGTCGCGCGCCAGCGTGGAGCGTATGATGCCCTTGCCTTCCCCCGACCCGATCAACGGCGAGTCGCCGATGCGCCCGGTCATCTTGTTCATCAGCCCGCCCGTGGACATGGCCGCCGCGGTGTGGCCGTTTGAGTGCACCACTGCGCAACACACCGTCTCCGGCACGGGATACGGCAGTCAAACTGCTTGTACCAATTAATCACAGGATGTCACGGTTAGATGTTAGCAATTTTCATAGGCGAATTGGTAACATGAGTCGATGCGCTGATCGACGAACCAAGATGATGTTGGCCTCCTTGGCGAGCTTCAGCATGCCGACGTTGTCCTCGGTGATGAAGTAGCTATTGTCCACGACCTCAAGACCTTGCAAACAGTGACCACAAAGAAAAAAAATCAGACCAGTCCACGACCTCAAGATCTGCAGGACTCGGGTGGACCATGCTGGTAGGACGGATTCATCCTGCAGCTGCTGGTCCTGCCAAAATTCGACTGGATTCCATGGCGGCTGCGCCTTGCTACCCCACACCGGCGCTGCACTTTCATCTGCTAGGCAACGCTGTGCACATGCATATTCTCCGGGCAGAAAGAAACAAAGGTGGCACCCCCTGCCGGCGCAGACTGGGAGGCACGGCTGGGGTCGGCGGCGTCTCAGGCTTCGTCGTCTGCATTAGCCCTCTCCTTCGTCCCAGCTTGGCGCGGCACCATCGTGGAGGAGGCCATCGGCCGGACGCCCCCACCTTCTCCGGCGAGCTGAGGCCGTCGCCGCTCCACCGCCTCTCCTCCGGCTCTCTACCGTCGCCGCCGAAGCCGCCGCTCGACCCACTCAAGTTCCTTCCTCCGCGCCGGCCCTCACCCTGCCGCCGCCGCCACTCCAGATTCCGCACACCGAATCTAGAGGAAGAGAAACATACAGAGAAGGGAGAGAGAGAGAGAGGGGAAGGAGGATAGATAGAGGATGACATGTGGGCCTCGCAATTTTTTTTCCATGTGAATGACGAATGGAGCCCATATAGTTTTTCATTTTAATGCCATATAAGCGCCACATCAATAACACAGATCAGGTCAACATCGCCACGTCAACGCCACGTCAGCAAAACCTCCATCCAAAACCACCGAGGGAGTCAAATTGCACTGGTTTGAATAGTTCGGGGAGTCATCCTATCCGGTTTTATGGTTAAGGGTCATGGATTAGATTCGGGTCACTTTTAAGGGAGTCAAAGTGGACTTATTCCTTCCTGAAAAACTGAACTGACTTGTTTGAACAGACAAAATCTGGGAAACTATTTCAAGGCCCCAAGATCCTGGCATATCAAAGTGGATGGGCCGTGGTTGAGGCCCATCTAAGATTCATGTGGACGGGCGCACGGCAAAAGCCGGCGGCGGACAACCTGCTGAAAAGGTGCTGGCTCGACCAAGCCGTGACCGTGTGCCCGCTGACCGCTGTGCACTGCTGCACATGAATCTTGCTTGCGTCTTTTCTTCAAGGTTATCTTTTTTGTCCCTTTTTTATTTTTGCAGGGAAAGGAATGTGTTATCTTATCGCAAATTTGGACAGCGTTCAACGGTTCAAGAATTGGACAGGCTAACCTCCCCATTTCCCCAATCGCACAGCAACAAGACGATAGCATTGCGAACATGATAGCTATTCACTTATTTGCAGATTAAATTACGAAGGCCAGGAGAAGAGACTTCGACGCAATAATAGTTCTTACTTCATGGTCAATCCGGGAAGAAGGGAATTAACAGTGTATTTCAGTAACTGTCTGCATCCCCTGAAGAAGTCACGTAGCGTGTTAAAGAAGAGCTCCGATTCCCCTAGGAAGAGGCACACGCACCGGTTGGTCATCATCCACATAGTATAAGCATGACCTTAAGTACTCCCGCGAAATACTAAACCATCAAATTGACATGAGTAGCTCGCCAAATCCAAACTACATCTGTCCAAAACAAGACTGAATAATGTTCACATCATATGATGGATGTACGGCTCACCCTCAAAGTCAAACAAGTTCGATATGACATAAATAAAAATTGACCCCGTATACGATCATCTGTTAGCTACCGTATATCCGATGTATTATGTATACATTCTCTAGTCGTTTGTAAGATTTTACTTCCAAGCATGTATGATTCTCATTTGGATACGTACATCGCTACAGCATGGATGCAGACAGATATAAATTGAGCGACTTCCAGAGTGATCAGCACTACACATCTCATCTCCAAGGAAAAAGTCACTCGCCTAGTCGCCTAGCTCACTGGGCTTAGCAGTTTAGCGAGTGACCGAAATGGCAGCCATGACAGCTACAATGATCCACGTCGAGTCCATGCAGACCGCCGTGCCGACGCGGATCACGGGGGCGGGGCGGACGCTGCCCGTCGCCGTGTCCGGAGGGGAGGCGCCGCCGCCGCTCACCGCCGCCTCGCTGCAGCGCCGCTTCCGCGCGGTGCTCTACTACCGCGGCATCGAGCAGCTGCAGGCGGAGGAGGAGGAGGAGGAGCGCGCGGTGTGGGTGAAGGAGTCGCTCAGCGCGTCGCTCGCCGACCACCCGGAGATGGCCGGGCGGCTGCGGCGCCGCGACGACGACGACGGCGGAGTGCGGGGCCCGTGGGAGGTGAGGCTGAACGACAACGGCGTGCGGCTCGTGCAGGCGTCCGTGGACATGCCCATGTCCGCGTTCCTGGAGGCCAAGGACCTGGCGCGCAGGGAGGCCGCGCTCACGCTCTGGACCGACGTGGACGTGCACGAGCCCGAGTTTTGTGCCCCCTTCTTCATGCAAGTACGTAGTTGTACGTTTTTTTTACGTGCTTCGTGTGTTTCGAAACCTTCTGGCACGCTGGTGGTTTGGGTCAAGCCAAGCTAGCTACCACACAAGACAAAGCTGACACGGTTCACACTGCTTTGCATGTTGCAGCTGACTCGATTCCAGGACGGAGGCTACGCCATCGGCGCGAGCTGCAGCCTGCTGCTCGCCGACCCGCTGTCTCTCGTCGACTTCCTCAAGGCGTGGGCTCGCACGCACGCGGAGATGCGAGCGCGGGGCAAGCCCGTCGCGCCACCGGCGGTGATACAGTACGCGCGCTACCTCCAAAGCCCCGGCGCCGCCGCCGCCGCCGTCGTCAGGCGCCTCAAGTCCGTTCCCCTCGACTCCTGCTCCGCCGCCGCCGCCACGACCGTGCTCTTCAGGGCCGCCGCCGGTGCGCAGGTCGACCGCCACGCGCTCGCGGCGGCCTGCGTCGACCAGGCCGTCGAGACGCTGGGCGGCAACGCCAGGAAGCCGCCGCGGCTCACCGTCCTCGCGGCCGGTGGCTCGGGAGAGCTGCGCGTCGAGGCGTGTGGATGCGGGGACGGGGAGGAGACGACGACGCCGCCGCCGCCGTCGCGGGGCCATCACGCGCTCCGGGCCGCGTACTGGGGTGACCTCGGTCTCGGGGAGATCGCGCTGGACGGGAGCGAGCCCGTGCACGTGTCGTGCACCGTCGTCTCGCCGTGCGCCGACGAGGGCCTCGTCGTCGTGATGGCGCCGGCCGGCGGCGCCGAGCTCTTGATCAGCGTGACTGTTCCGAACTACTAGGAAAGAACAAACAAACGTTCGTAAATGACATGGGAGATAGAACATGTCGACTGTCGTAGCAGTTTGCAGATTTGGTTTGGAAATGTTGCATGCAATGCAGTAGTTGAATCGTCGTACGTGTTGTCGTCATTTTTCTGAAAAAAAAAGGCATTACCTTTTTAATGTACCGCGAAGGTTTGATGATGATCAGCGAAACATTTGTTGTAGTAATAGCATGTGTAAAGGTTTGGTTTATATTCGCATTTAAGAGGGACACGATTTTTTGGTCGCAAGTTTCATTGTGCAAAAGTGACAGATTAGACACCGTTTGATCGAGGGGAAATCTTAGCCGGGCCGTCGATCTAGGGGTAATCGTGAAGGTATGGAAATCCTGTCTTCTTCGGTTATAAGCCATGTCGGTGTATGTACGGCCACCTTACCGGTTTAAGAAGCGAAGCAAAGACGTTCGATGACAACTCATGCCGTCGTACGAGAAGATTAGCAAATCGAAGCACAAAAATAGTCTGATCAGTTCATGGGCCGTGCTTCTAGTGCAGCTTCTTTTACGGCGAACACTTCTGATCCACTAGATTTAATTTGAACCTTTCAACTAAATTCTTAAAACTTTTAACTCGAAATTTAAAATTTTGAACTTTATTTAAAAATAATCTGAAGTCAAAATTTTGAATATTTCAACTTAATTCTATTAAATCTTTAAACTCATTTATTAAAAACTTCTAACTCAAAATTTTAATCTAAATTTAAAACCTTCAACTCATATATAATAACTTTCAATCAACTATCTATTTATTATTTTTATTTTAAAAAGTAATGCTAAATACTACACCAAGCAATGATGTGAACGTAACTCAACTAATAGATTCCCTGTGGTGAAATCATCCTATTCGAATTCAATTTCTAGATTTGACACTATGCTCGCTTCGCGTTAAATTAGGTGATACGTCATCCTCGTGTGCGCGGTCGTGGCCGGGGTGCGGTGCGGGCATGTGGGTGGCGAGCTGCACTCGCGACGCTACCATTTCCGTCCGTTTGTTCAACCAACTCTCATCTGCTTCACGGACTGCGCCTCTGTTTTACACTACCGACCATTTCTATTTCTGGCCCTTTTTCTGCTGTTTATGTCCATGGACAAAGCAAACGTTTAGGCACTAAACCCGTCCGTACGCACGCATCGACGGCATCGTGCAGGGCGATCTACAAAAGTGACCAATTAGATGAGTTAGGTAAGTGATAAAGCATTCGTAACTAAGCTTGTACAGTGTACTACAGATCAGTATACCCCAAAGGCAAGGCGAGGAGCCCCAATCGACACGCTGATTAATTATTTGGCAAAATCGCGCTATATAAATGGGCGAGCTCTCGAGCGTCAGATATATATCCTGCAGTCGCGGCCATTAGCCGGTCATCGTCATCGTCTCTCTCCATGCAAAAACATACAGGTACGTCTCGCCAGATGGCCGGCCTTCTCCCCGGCGTGCTCGTGGCCGTTCTCCTCGCCGCCGCCGCGGCGCCGGCGTCTGCGAAAGACTACACCGTCGGCGACTCGTCGGGGTGGACTACCGGTGTGGACTACACCGCCTGGGCCAGAGGCAAGACGTTCAACATCGGCGATACGCTATGTAAGTGAAAGGCCTAATATATTCAGTTATCACGTAATCCTTCTAGTACAACGCTATAAAGTCTAGATGGGATTAGACTTATTCTATTACAACGCTATAAAGTCTAAAATATATACACTTTTATTATTTCTTTTAGATAAGATGGATATATACATTGATAGTGTTTACGTGCTAAATTAAATTATTAACTGAAACCCAAAGAATTATTTTAATACATTGGTTGTTTGTATAAATATACTCCCTCTGTCCCAAATTATAGGACGTCCCTTTTTAAGAAAAATTAAACTCGGTAGCTTTTGACTAATAATCATACTAATTATATCATCATACGTGTTATGTCACCAGATTAATATTTTGAAGTACTTTCATATAATATTAATTTCATATTTGTTGAGAACATAAAATGAAATAAAATAATGATCAAACTATGTTATTGAAAACCGTGTAAAAAAAACTAAAAGCTTTATAATTTGGGACAGAGGGAGTAGTTTTTTGGTTTTCTTCATATGGTGGATGAGTTAATTTATTGTTGATTTCGATAGCAAAGAAATACATATTAAACTTTCGGATGAAAGAAGTATATATTGTACACGAGTGGGTCCCATTGTTCAGTGGCTAACTCTCGTGTGGTCGTACACGTGGCGTGGTGGCAGTGTTCCAGTACACCAGCGCGGGGCACTCGGTGGTGGAGGTGAGCGAGGCGGACCACACCTCGTGCTCGGCGGCGAACCCGCTGCGGTCGTACAAGGACGGGACGACCATCGTCACGCTAACCAGGTCGGGCACCCGCTACTTCATCTGCGGCAGCACGGGCCACTGCGGCGCCGGCATGAAGCTCACCGTGACGGTCGCCACCCTCTCCGGCAGCGCCGCCGGCGGCACGAGGCTGGCGAAGCCGTCGTCGTCCGACGCGGACCCGACGACGACGACGACGACCAGGACCTCGTCGGCCACGGGCGGCGCCACTGGCAGCTGGGCCCCGCGCACTGCCACGTGGCTGCTGTTCTTCGCCGCCGTGGGGGCCTTGCTGTGATAGGCTGATCGTATGGCCGCTTGGAAAGAGGCAGTGCTGTTCCTTGTGTGTGTCTGAGCTGCATATCATTTTTAGTTTTGTATTATGAGACAACTACGTAGTGTAGTGTGTTTCTCAAATAATCTTTGTGGAGTGTTCGCTTAATTATATGGTACCGAATTCTTGTATCTTGTTGTTTCTTGGAGGCAATAAAATCTTTTAAAGAAAAAAATATCATTAACAAGTATAGGGATGCAATATTTGGTGATGGCCGTATGCTCATCCTAAATTGTTTTGTGCATTCTTTACTAGAGAATCAGTGTCATCACCGTTCTACATGGAATTTTATTTATTGCAACATTCATAACTTGAACCCAGTCCAAGGCGCAAGGTATAGTTCCCTTGAAGAAATAAACAGAAAAAAGTACATAGTAGGTGACGTATAATAATCACTAGAAACCTAAACGTTGAACCATATTTTAGGACCAACCATACTACCAGTTTAGTCTAGCAACAAGTTCGTTCACCATACAATCTTGAGAGCATGATTTGGAGGGAATGCCAGAATAGTCGGAAAAGGCTGATTTTTTCATACGGGCCGGGCAGCCAATCAGCCATGGTGTAGCACGGTGTGGCCGTGTGGGCCGTATGGCCCATCCGCTGTTTTAAGCAACAGTTGTACTTTTCGTGGCTAAAACTGGGGGGCCCTTCTAATGGGCAATCGATCGCCAGCGATCGCGCTGGGCGATCAGTTCGCCCCCCCTTCTAATGGGCGATCGATCGCCAGTGATCACGCTGGGCGATTAGTTCACCCCCCTCCCCCCATACTCATCCCTCTTCTCCCTCCTTCCTCCTCCCCTTCTTCTGTTCCTATTACAGTACACCACACAATTTTTTTTAAAAAAACAAAAAGTTAGAAAAATTTATGTATAGAAATACTATATATAAAAAATTTGAATTCAAATTCAAAATTGAATCGGGTATGTAAACTTTTGACTTATAAACTTTGGGTCTATAAACTTTAAGTGTATAAACTTTTAGATGTATAGAAATACTATATATATAAAATATTTGAATTCAAATTTGAATCAGGTATGTAAACTTTTGACTTATAAACTTTGGGTCTATATACTTTAGGTGTATAAACTTTTAGATGTATAGAAATACTATATATAGAAAATATTTGAATTCAAATTCAAATTTGACTCGGGTATGTAAACTTTTGACTTATAAACTTTGGGTCTATAAACTTTAGGTGCATAAACTTTAGGTGTATAAACTTTAGATGTATAGAAATACTATATATAAAAAATATTTGAATTCAAATTCAATTTTGAATCGGATATATAAACTTTTGACTTATAAACTTTTGGTCTCTAAACTTTGGATGTGTAAACTTGAGGTGTATAAACTTTAGTTGTATAAATTTACTAAAATAGGAAAGTAATGCGGTGCCAAAAAAGAAAACCATGTGGAGGGGGGAGGGAGGGAGGGGGGAGGGGATCGATCGCTACCCCATCCCCATAGCGATCGATCGCCCATCAGCATTCCTGAAAACTGGGTGCTCCTCAAAAAATTATTCGGCAATCCAACCGGAAGTTCTAATGGCCGATTGATCGCCTACCAATTGGGTAGCGATCAGATCCGTCCTCCACCGGGTTTTCTTTTTGGCACCGCATTACTTTCCTATTTTAGTAAATTTATGCAACTAAAGTTTGTACACCTAAAGTTTACACATCTAAAGTTTAGAGACTTCAAATTTGAATTTGAATTCAAATATATTTATATATAGTATTTCTATACATCTAAAGTTTATAGACCCAAAGTTTACAAGTCAAAAGTTTATATATCCGATTCAAATTTGAATTTGAATTCAAATATTTTTTATATATAGTATTTCTATACATCTAAAGTTTATAGACCCAAAGTTTATAAGTCAAAAGTTTATATACCCGTTTTCAAATTTGAATTTGAATTATATCCGATTCAAATTTGAATTTGAATTCAAATATTTTCTATATATAGTATTTCTATACATCTAAAGTTTATACACCTAAAGTTTATAGATCCAAAGTTTATAAGTCAAAAGTTTGCATACCCGATTCAATTTTGAATTTGAATTCAAATTTTTTATATATAGGATTTCTATACATAAATTTCTATAGCTTTTGTTTTTTTTAAAAAAATTGTGGTGTACTGTTGTAGGAAGAGAAGGAGAGGATGGAGGAGCGTATATGCGGGGGAGGGACGGACGGGTAGGGACGCAGCGATCACCTGCCCATTAGAAGCACCCCGATCCAACGACCTAGAAAACAATAAATCGGAAAACTCCATTCTTACGGAGACTGCCTATTTGCCATTTGACAAGAAAACACTTTAAAAAATCTAGCAAATTTTAAACTGTTAAATTTTGAGATTCTTTTAGTACCCCATAAAGCCATAACTCTCTCCTCACTCCTAGTGCCGCTGCGAGTCCAGGAATCACTTGACTGCCATCACCTCCGCTGCTAGCCGGTCTTGATGGCTGGCACCAATTAACAACGCCAGCGAGGCCCTCCCCGACTGAGTGAGGGTCCTCTGCAGTACTGATGGTGCAGTACTACTCACTGACATGTGGGCCCCACAGACCCTCGGGCCCACATGTCTGCACTAGCAGTACTGCAGAGGATCTGGATTGTCCCCGACTAGGCTCCTCCCTCCCTTATCCTTAAGTTGTCAATGGCGAGGTGTCTCTGCCCTACCATCTTTTCCATGTCTGTGGCCCCGTCCAAGCACCACCTCCTAACTGCAAGCTCCGCTTGTTCTCGCCGCCTACCCACATTCGCCCTTCCAAATATGTTAAATCAGGATCCAAAATTGGTAAGAAATCCCACTGAGTTTTTTGTCGAATGCCATTTAACAAAAAAAAATATGTTTGTTTGAACTTAAAAGCAAACTCAATTTGGTATAGAACTATAGAAGGATTGGTTAGAGCATCTCCAGCAGTAGTCCCTATTTTAGAGTCCTCAAAGGTTGAATGAGGGCTACTCCCATTTCCTAAGAATTCAAAAATTACCTCCAACTCTAACAGCAGACCCTATTTCTTAGCCCCCATTTCTTTTTCTCTTGTATTTTTGATTATACTCTATGCTTACACCTAGTTTAACATAGTAATAATTCAAATACGAATATTTCTAATGCATAGAATTCAATTGTATTCAAATCCATAATTTTAAATACCATAATTCAAATTCAAAATTCTCAAACATGGGAGTGAAATCCTACCGGCAAGTATTAAAGACACTACGTAGTTCAATTAAATAAGAACTATAATCAATAGATAAAATTAACTCTATACCTTTTCCAATCTAATCTATCTGAGAAACTTCAGAAAGAGCTTAAATCCTCCTAGAAAAAAAAAACCTTGAAGTTAAACTTCAACTCACAACTGACACAAAAGAACAACACTGCAGAATAATCTTTGAAGGAACTACTGCGTAATTACAAGCAGCCTAATTGTCTCAACCTACCAAGCACCACAAACTTTAAAGTTATACCATGATCGTTTAGAACCACAGTTAGCCATAAACCAATCGAGAGCAGGATTGTTTAAAACATGTTTATGATGGTCATGAATTTCAGAACATTCTTGTCTACCATATAGTGCATCAGTGTGCGAACTGATCAAGGACCACGAAAAAACAAGCAAGCGGACATGTGAACGACAAGCAGTGGCCGGTGGAGGTACTGGATGGTTGCACCGTCGGCCACGAGCGGCGGAATCAGCGAGCTGGCGAAGATCGGCGCCATGGCCGCCATTCCGCGGGAGGGATGATCTACAGCCCCCAGGCCTAGGGGCTGCGGAGGGGTATTTGAGGTCCTTCCTATTTTAGGGCCTATAGTAGGGGCTTTGCTGGAGTTTATTTTTTTGTCCCTAGCACCTAAAAACTGTTTAGGAATTGTATTTAGGGTCTCTGTTGGAGATGCTTTTATCTTGCACACTGAGCGTCTGAGCCCCAAGTCCCTGGACTTTCTCACTGGACCAAACATGTTCCTTTCCCCTTTGATTGGAGGAGCTGTCGATTACAACCAGCCAGGGAAAACAAACTCCCATGGAGGAGATTGCCTACTCCCATGATATCAGCACACAAACACGAATCTAAAACAGGGGGAAACCGCTTAACCGCCAATACTTTTTGCACCAAACCTCACCAAACGAACCCCGGAAGACCACCTATTCAGAATTTCAGTTCGAATCGCCTTCACCGTCTGAACCGCGTCAACACAAGCTGACTTGTCTCATTGCCTGCGTGTGTCGCCTGCAGCTTGCTTGTGACGCCTCCCAATTCTTTAACATGCCTGCAATGCATGCAACCTAGCGACATCCCCTATACAATATTAACAGTTAGGTGATCCATCCTCAACAAGAACCTCCTACATATCGAGGGATTTGGCAGGCATGGTCACCCATTAGATTCCTATCGAGCGAGCCACAGTTTCGCACATCACGTACGTACCCGTGGCTTGGCCCCCTCCAATGGCTCAATCCTGCCTGGCTCTCGCGGTGTGCGTCCTGCTCGTGCACGGCGGCGCGGCGAGGGTAGCCGAGGCGGCGTCGTACAACGTCGGCAACAGCGCCGGCTGGGACATCAGCGCCGACTTCCCGTCCTGGCTCGACGGCAAGTCGTTCTTCGTCGGCGACACTCTCGGTAAGCGCCCTTGATTTACCAGCAGTTTTGGATTGTTTGCAATTTTGCATGCTATCCAACTCCAACTCACCTGTGTTTTTGTGATCGATCGGCCGGTGCAGTGTTCCAGTACTCGAAGTACCACACGTTGAGCGAGGTCGACGAGGCGGGGTACAGGAACTGCAGCACGGCCAGCGCGGTGCTCTCCAGCAGCGACGGCAACACGACGGTGGCCCTCACGGCGCCCGGCGACCGCTACTTCGTCTGCGGCAACGAGCTGCACTGCCTCGGCGGCATGAGGCTTCACGTGCCCGTCTCCGAGCCGGCCTCACCGGGCGGGGCCGGCGCGACGCCGGCGAGCCCGGGCGGCGGCGGCGCCCTCTCCCCCGGCGCGGCCGGCGACGCGGGCGTCCCGACGCTCGACCTCGGCGGGTCCCACCGGGTGACGGTGGGGCCCGCGGTGGCCACGTGGCTGTGCATCATCGCTGCAGCCCTGTTTGTATGGTGACGATTGATGACGAAGATTGAAGGGCAAGCGGAGTCAGTTTACGAATTGCACGAAATTCATTCATGCGTTTGCAAATCGGAGTCTGTGAGTTTTTGGGCGCTGTGGTGTTTTTTTTTGGCACGTATTCGTAGTACTTTTCTGGGTTGGGCCGGGCCGGTGTTTTCAGGCTGGTTTGGGCTGAAGCCCGATAAGAATAGAAGAAATTAATTTGACCTTCAACGCAGTCGCGGTTCGGCTCACCGACAACGCAGTCGCAGTCCTGCCTTTGGTACACCGAAAGCGTACTACCAAAACGATCACGCAGATCCAATGCATACGTGTGTCCCGTCTCTGCCTGCTGCTCTGTTCGTCGGTTCGTGGTTTGTACGATTATATGGCGTCTCTCCCCCACAAGGCCACACACGTACTCCACCAACCGTGGTGTGTGACAATTGCACGCATGTTCTTGTGTCCCCCAACGCGCTACCATCGGTCACGGATTAATCCGTGCAACTCCTTTGCACCGGATCTTGTTTTAACCTGGCCGTGCCTGTGTGAGTCCTGGTTATTTATACTGTGCAAACGGCTTTCGGCTCGTTTGTTCGCTCTGTTACCGAGAATACGCTTCTGCCCGGAGTTGCGCACAAAACTTTCTAGTCTGACAGTGGATTTCAAACTCTCTAATTGTTTGTACGTATGTCATTAAATAATTGTGAAAATATTTAAAAAAGACTAAGAAGATATATTAACATGTGATATATCACTTTACAAATATATAAATTAAAATTTAACTTTTACAAGTTGAAAAATATATATATTATAGATAGTTAACGTATATTCACAATTAAATGTGTTTCTTTCATTGTAACATGTAGAGATTAAATTTGCTCTTGCATGTTTATAAAATGATACCTCATATGTTTAATACAACTTTTTAGTTCTTCTTAATTTTTCTCATAACCATTTGAGTGACATCTCGGTGTCAATTGCAAAATGCAACATGAGTCTATCAGATATACACACAAGTTTCTATCTACGGCGCAACTGTAGGATATCCCGATCCATATTTATCATCCATAAATAAATGATAAAAAAAGAAATAAATAACCAATTTATCGTACACCAAGAATCATACATGCAGACACGCAAAACACAAAAAAGACGACGGGAAAACGATCGAGTAATAACAAAGTTAAACAGAAAACGCGAAAGTAGGCGGTGATGTGACTCAGCTATACTTAAAACAAGGCCACGAGCCCCGCCGCCGCCAATGCCACCAACGCGGCAATGCCGGCGGGCGCGCGCGTCGCCGCTGACTCATCCTCCGACGCCATCGCCGGCGCGAGCGAGGGCCCCGGCGACAGCGAGCCGAGGGGAGACAGCTCCGGTGCCATCAGGGGCGACAGCTCGGGCGCCAAGATGGGCGCCGGGGTCGGGGCCACGATCGGAGCCGGCGCCGGCGATACGGGCGCTGGCGCCGGCGATACGGGAGCTGGCGCGGGGGCCAAGGTCGGCGTGGCGACGGGCGCCAGGACCGGGGCGGCGAGCAGCGGAGCGGGTGCAGACGTCGGTGGCGCGGTGGCCGGAGGAAGCGCCGCCGGTGGAGTGGCGAGGGGCGGGGAGGCCACTGGGGCGGCGACGGTGGGCGGTGTTGCCAGAGGGGGAGCTGCCACTGCCAAAGTAGGCGCGGAGACCGGTGGCGAGGAGGTGGCGGTCGGCGGTGACGCGGCGGCCAGCTGTGGCGCCGCGGCGGCCGTGGTCGGTGGGGCCGCGGCGGAAACCTGTGGCGCCGAGGCGGCATTGGGCGGAGCCGCCGCGGAAACCCGTGGCGCCGAGGCGGCATTGGTCGGTGCTGCGGCGGAGACCTTCGGCGCCTGGGCGGCATTGGTCGGGGCCGCGGCGGAGACCTGCGGCGCCGAGGCGGCATTGGTCGGGGCCGCCGCGGACGACACCTGTGGCGCCGAGGCTGCCGTGGTCGGTGCAGCGGCCGAGACCTGTGGCGACGAGGCGGCGGATGCCTGCGGCGTGGCGGCGCTGAGCGGAGGACCGTTCGACGCCGACGGCGACGAGGCCGGCGACTGCGCGGCGCAGGAGACGAGCAGCAAGCAGAGCGCGAGAGGCCGTAGGAGCGCCATTGCCGCGTCTCTTTCTAACCAGCGACTTAGCTAGCGCGAAGCAGCGAGGTGGTTCTGTGTCAAGTGGCCTAAGCAATGCAGGTACCGAGAGCTCGAGTGACGTATATATATATAGCTCGGCGCGCTGCGGCGAAGGCGATCGTGCGCGCGCGTAAAGTCGAGGTGATGGTGAAAGGAAGATCTTAAGCGGCTTAATTTGGAACGTGAAACGAGCTATACTACTTACGTACTCTGTACTACCAACATAATCTTATCGTCTTCGTTTCAAAATATAACAACTTTGGATTAGATATGATATTAGTCTGCTCAGGCTCGTAGTTTTAAAATATGTCACGATCAATTTGTTTGTATATTTTTGACAAAACCTATAATTTTTTTGTAAAACCACTAGATGTCAGTTTGTACAAGCCAATTGGGTTTAACCGGTTTTCGTCTCGAAAAATCGTGGTTTTTTTTGTCGGTTTCGATAAACCGTGAGGAGCGGTTTTCTACTTGACAAAACCCTGCTTACAGCTCAGTGAGTCAGCGTGTTCACCTACTGGTCTTTATGGTGGAGGACAGTAATTCATCAGCATACGCCGCGCGTATTAAAAATTTGTAGCGTACGATGGCCAACCGGCACATGTTCATACGTATTTCTTTCCTCTGCCCTGCACGCGAATACATTTCAGATCTCATGTCCAACAAAATAGTACGATACATTATCGATCCTCCTTGATGCACTACAGTAGTACAGTTTTTCAATGGAAAAATGGTTCCAAACAAAACCATTCCGGATTGCTCGGGAAATGCGTGCACTTGGAGGCGAAGTTTGACAGCGAACTGCGCCTAAAATCTTCGACGCAAGTTCAACCCCTCGGTTAAAAGACTCAAAGAGCTCACCTACTTCTTTCAGCATACCGTGGCTGTTCTAGATTGTTCATTTAGGAGCACTCAATGGATGCAGTCACTCAGAACCGAAAGCAACATGCACGGCTTAGTACACATCTATGATCGATGCATGGTACGTTGCCTTTGGAGCAGGGAGAGGCAAAGAGGGTACATTAAAGCAGGAGCATGAACCGCGGATTAATTAAGCAGTGGTTATGCTGTTGCTAATGCCATAATTTTTTCACAGGAGATTTTTTCAATTAACTTTTTTTTCCTAACTACTTAACCCTCCTCCTCCTCCTACTGTCCTCTTGCCATTACGCCTGACAGGGACTCGCAAACTAGATCCCTGGCCCAGAACGGCAGCAATGTCTCCATGGACAGCCTGGTTCCTCTTAATAAGGCCTCTCTTCCTCCTTGGACACACTATAGGGCTCACTTGAATTCAAACCTCTGGTACAATGATTAGGCTTATGCATTAGTGCACCACCACCACGTACCCCGTATTTGAGCGCATGATTTGCCTTTTTTTTCGCCTTCCTTTTTCTTCTTATCTTAACGTGGCATGGCGAGATGCAAGAGCTAGCTAGCTAGCCATGCCAATTTTTGGAGGCTAGGGGGTCCTTACATTGCAAGGAAAGCAACGCCATCCTTTACTTTTGTTCTTTTGCCTTCTCTCCAACCACCATGCTTGTACTATATATGATCACCGGTTCGCCACTCATTTTTTAGGCGATGATCACTTCACTCATTAGACATTAGACATTAGTGGCGCACTACTGATGGTAAATTGGTAAACGCATTTGATCATCTCCAGAACAGTGCATGGAAAATTCCCTACCGGTGGTCATTGGAAGGCAATTCTTCGGACCTTCCAAGTACTAACCATTAATAAAAGCTGCTTCATTTAACAGTTCATGCTTTGCTACAGTTAATAAGCAGCTTGCTTGATTTCTTTGCTGCTGTTAGTATTGCCAAATGGCCATGGACCGACAGAGATGCCGGTGTCCCAAGGTAAACTAACAACAACAACCTGCATGTGCTGATGTGGAGGTGTTGCATGCACAAGGCGATGCTTTGGCCAGTGCCACGCCAGGAGCCAAGCTGACAAACAGTAGCCATTAGTTAGCACCCGTTAAATACTGTACTGGGGCTCACAATTAGGCTGTGTTTAGTTGGATCCAAAGTTTGGATTTTGGTTGAAATTGGAGATGATGTGACTGAAAAGTTGTGTGTGTATGACATGTTGATGTGATGAAAAAGGGCTGAAGTTTGGATCCAAACTTTAAATCTAAACACAGCCTTAGCCATCCCGCAGCGTTGTCGGTGGCTTTTGTGCGTAGCCTGTAGCTAGGTAATCAAATCAGCCTGAATGAATGGACATGATGGAGGCAGAGACCATGATCTGATCGTCTTCCCTCGCTCTCCTAATAATTGGGTGCCGATCGAAATTAGACGTCGCTTTTTCCAGGACCGAATTAAACCGCGCTACTCCTACGTTGATCTCGCGAAAAGCCACCCCGAGCTGCTCGACAAGGCTTGATCACCCGCCGTGCCATTAATCCTCGACGATCGATCGACCTATGCAGCGTGCATGCATTGATGCGCCCCCGGCGGCAACGGCGGCGGCGGCGGCGAGGCGACGACGGCGTTGGAGGGCTTGGATTTGTAGCCGGTGTGGCTGCTCGACCGTTGGTGTCAAGGAAGCTGGACCGATAAAGGCGACAGCTGTGAGCTGGGTTTGGCCATGGTGCCGTCGTTGTCTCGTTGATGCTTAGTTAATTCAAGTTCAGTAGTCGTCTGTCGTCCTGTGTTAGTGCAGGCACTATCGCACTACGCAGGCATGTTCACAAGGTGGCAGCTGACCAAGGCTGCCATTGGTTGGTCAGTTACCGATAGGACGTACGTCAAATGCTGTATTAACGTAAAGGAAGTAATTTATAATTAAGAGTTTTATATATGTGCTCTTAATTGTTTAAACATCAACGTTGAAAAAGAAGCTATAATGAAAAAACTTAAAGTTGATTTTAAAATTTAGTTTTAAGATTTAAATTTTGGTATTGTTGTAGTCTTGTAGAGCTAATGATGTGGGCCGAAGGGGCTCTCACAGAATGACAGAAGTTCGCGTCGCGTAAGCTTGGAAAGCCTTTCCTCAGAGCAGGAAGCGTATCGATCGAAAGTACGTTTTCAGTGTGGAAAGGCGCTTTATTCAATTGGTCCGCTCTCGGTCTCCTGCACGGGGTGGGGCCCGCATGTCAACCTCACAACGCTCTCCGAGGCACTATCCCCAAGCAAAGCTCCGCCCTCCGCTCTCCGCCTCGACGCTTCTGCGCCCTCGCCGTCGCCGAGCAACCGCCACCGAGATCGAGCGAGAGCATGCAGCCGCCGTGCCTGGGCGCGTGCAGCGGCGGACTCGCCCTCCCGGTCCACCGCTACCACCGCCTCTCCTCGGCGTCCAGGGCCACCGTCTCGTGCGCCGCCGCCGCCGGGGGAGGGAAGGCGTCGCCCAGGGGGAAGGAGAACGTCTGGAGCGTCGACAACGACCGGGCCGCCGCCGCCGCCGCGGAGGCGAGCCGGGGCCCGAAGCACCGCCGCCGGAGGCGCCCCGGCGGGCGACGCCTCCCGCCGCCGCCGCCCCCGGGGAGGAGGAAGGGGAAGGATGCGGCGGGCTCGAGGGTTCTGGTCTCCGGAGCCATGCTCGTGGAGGTCGAGACAGTGCTCCAAACCCAGGTTTGGCACTAGTACAGTAGTACGTACTATCACACGAGCACGACTACTTAACGCGAACGTAGATGTGTGCCATTGATTCGTGCGTGTAGTCTTTATTGTTTGATGATTCGTGGTGGATTCTGCAATACGTCCCGGAAGATCCTCTCATCGATGATGGGGATGAAGCTATACGTGCATTGTTGTATATTAGTAATACTGCTACAGGATGGTATGCTATTTTAAGGGTAAGCATGCCAGTTAATGCTGAGTTTGATTCAACTGGTGGGAAATAGTTGATATTAACTTTGGGGAAGAGCATCCTCAGTTGCTCAGCATCAAACAGTACTTAGCACGTATATGGGTACAAATTGGTTGTGTACATCTGTATTGGATGTAGAGGCCATGTTTTAATCCATTATCTGAAAAGATGTACGAGTACAAATTAATAAAGGTTTATGCATTATTCTGATGTTGTCATTTTCAATCATAGGAACCTGTTATAAAGCCGTCTTGGGATACATTTGCGAGCAGCTTAAGTGGCGTTTGGAAGGGTGTTGGAGCCGTGTTCTCACCAATCACAGCAGAAATGGAGCCTGTTGGAGTGGGAAGCAAACAAGAGTACCTTTATGATTGCTACACTCTTTCTCATATTGAGAAGCATGCTGATAATAATTATGGATCTGTGATCCGAAGGAAGACAAACTGGGTGCAGCTCAATCCCCATGGGGAAGCTGAGAAACAGAGTGCTGGATATGATAGCGGGGATCAGTACAATTACAGTGACAAGAGAACACTTGATTTGCCTGCCCATGAATCTTTTGATCTTAAGAAGAGCGATGTACTTGATGAAGATTCTATTGCTCAGGAGCCAGGGATTGTATATTTTGAGGTTGAATTCTTTCCATTTTATTTACAATTCATCTGAAATACTAGGAATAACTTTGTTAATTAACTCTATGCAAAGCATTATAAAAACTGTTACTATCCTGTTTTTACCACCATAAGTACTATGCTTCCTTAGGTTGGATATTTAATGTGGACATAACTGGCTCCAGCGAAAATAGGATATTGTTTTGTAGAACTGGGTCTCTAGCATAGCAACTGTATAGCCTGGACAAAAAAATAAAATAAAATTGATGGCATGTTATGTAAACAAAAAGTTAAGTTGTGAGAGTTAATGCTGTAGGATGATTAGAACTATAGACCATTCAGCGCTGTGTTAAAGACAAATTTTATGCTTTATGGTGTAATGGTACATTGGTACTCATAGAGCTTGCTTGCCATTCAGAATTGACAAAAAAATTCATGTGCCAGAACGGGCAGTATTATTGTTTTGGAATTGTTTGCTCAGCTTAACCTTAGGTTTATTTTCTTTGAATGCTTAACCTTAAGTTCTTACCATAATGACTTGAACCAAACATTTAGGTTACTTTAGAGCCTAATTATTAAACTCAAACTACTCTGCAATATGAATTGAAACTGATGCATGGGTCTTCCAAATGATCCAAACAACCTCTATAGTGTGGAATGTATCTCATATGCTAGCTGTACTGAGTTAATGACTATGATACGAATAACCTTGATCATCACATAAGGTTTGATCTAGGTCAAATTGATACTGAGAATCACTGAAAAACTCTTTACTCCTTTTGCACTAAAATGCCGTGACGTTTGGTGTATCCGTTATTGTTCAGGCAGATTATTTTCTGGTCATTATTCTTCCCTGCGAGACTGGACTATCGTTATAACTCTTATAATTCAATATTTTTTGTGCTATTTATTCTTGTTTATGAAAATCCTAGTACTTATTATTTTGGCTGCTGCTGCTTGATTTTCAGGATGGATCATACTCTAGAGGGCCGGTTGATCTAGCGATTGGTGAATTTGATGAATCGAAATACTTCATTTCACCAACATATAAATTTGAGCAAGTATGTTTATTCTGCTTAGTCTTAAGTTATCTTATCATCTTCTGCAAACATGCTCAGGTTTTGAGTTAGTGCAATGATAATAATGTTTCTCCGTATATGCTAGCATGCGCAGATCCGGACTAGAAAATATTTCCTACAAGAGAATTGTAGATGAGATGCATCCCACGAGTTTACTAGTTAGGCTTTGCTAATAGGCCTTTTGTCTAATCAAGCACGATACGATGATGATGATGATGATGTAGGTTTGATCTAGTGAAAGCTACACTGTTTTCATATTCTTGATAAGAACCGTTTTTTGCTCAATGTCGTCTTCTGAGTGGTTGCAACTTTTTTTCATGCTACAAAGAAAAAAAAACCATTTTGATTTATGCAACTACTGAGAATTAAGGTTCTTTTGAGTTGAGTGAATGGATGTCTTATAGGACAACCATAACAAAGAAAAGTAGACAAGTCTTGTAATGAAATGTACTCCTCCATATCTTAAAATGGTGTTCTAGGTACTTCAACTTCTTTGTTATATATTTAAATTTCTTCTCAACTTAGTTTACTACTAATTAACTTTAGGCCTGTAAAGTATAATATCGCGGCCATTATGACTTATGACTTACGAGTGAGATGTGATTTTTTTAATGTATGCATAAATTAAAACATTTTCCCCTTTTACATTATAATGCTTTGGGGTTACCAATTGATAAATTATCCATCTCTGTTTCAGTGTCTGGTCAAAGGGTGTCACAAGAGATTGCGTATTGTACATACTATTGAGTTAAATGAAGGAGGGGCTAACATACAGATCGTAAGGATTGCTGTATATGAAGAAAAATGGGTCAGCCCAGCACATATTCATGTTGAAGAGTAAGACTCTGTTTTATTCATCGCAACAAGTTTATTCATCTTCTTTTCTGCTCATGAAGCATGACATATATTTTACTGCTGTTCAATAATAATGGGTTACTAGCGAGTCTAGAATTTAGTTACTTGTAATTCTAGATTGGCATAAAAATTGTTTTACAGAGGCCCTAATTTTTTACTAGCTAATCCACACATTTGCTTTGGATTAAAAGATCATACATGTTCTAATACTGTCCAAAATAATGAATGTCCTTCACCATTGTTAGTTAGATCTGACAAATTTGTCCATTCTGGACCTTTATATAAAGTTGGGTCTTTCTAAGCAAATAAGGAGAAATAAATATATGGAAGATAGTCTTTCTAGGCAAATAAAGAGGAATAAACATGTTGAAGGATTATAGCGTTATATTGAAGAATGTGAGGGGGCAATTCATTAAAACATACTGCTACCACCATCTTTTTTAAAGGAGTAAGGAAACCTTGAATTGCTCTTCTTCATTTCATCATATGGAATCATTGTTTTGTATAGTTCTGTCAACACATGTTCTGATTCTCTCTACTGTTCTCCAAAACATATTGGCCTCCTTGTATTTTGGAAACAATGTAATATAACCTTCATGACTCTGAAAATACCATCATCATATCGGTTTGCCATTCCTTTAACTTTTAGAGTTAGTGCTTACTTGCTTAGTGTGATTAAAAACTAGCACATCAGGGTCAAACACAGGTAGAACACCTCCCTGATAATTCCATGTTTTGCTGGAGGGGTGGGTTGGGGGAGGGGGCGGGTAGTGGGAGAAGATTGCCTGACAGGTTTTCTTTTTTTTTTTTTTTTGAAAATGGAAACAGTTCCATTTGTCTCCTTAAATCCCCAACAAAAATAATTCCATGTCGTCCAGAAGACCAGGACTCCAGGTGGACAGGCTATTGTAGAATTGTCTACCTTTGAACAATATATCGCCTTGAGGACTCGAAGAGTATTTGATGGACTATGTTTTTGTTTGATGCAGTGATACACCTGTTGATGTTAAGCCTTTATCTCAAAGAAAGCGGACCAAACCATCAGACCTTACTGGCTCCTGGAAAGTATATGAAGTTAGTGCAACTCCAATTTTCAGTGAGGAAAGGCAAGAAATTGAGGGTGGTGCCCTCTTTGTATACTTGTGCATGGAGACAGTGAAGAAGAGAAGCCTGCCAGAGAGCTCGGTTTTTTTTGGGGAGGAAGAGATGCTTGACATGCAAGATGTCACCATGCTTTGGTTACCTGGTGGTGTCACTGCCTATGTTGATGTGGACAAAGACGGTATACTCTGTATAGGAGTTGGTTGGTACTCGGACGAAGGGATTAATATGGTGATGGAGAGAGACTATGGAACTGATGGAAAGCTCAGAGATGTTCGATGGAAAACTGAAGTCAAGCGCAGGTGGAATCAACCAGTTCTACCATAAATCCTGGAACTAACCCTCGCATAATTTCTCTGTTTCTATTAACCTTTTGTCCTGGTCAGAAATAGGATCATTGATATCTATGTGCATCATATATCACCTGTAAATTTCATCGCCTCTGTGGAATGTGCATGTTTATGTTGTCAGTAAGAAATCAAACTCATGGCATCAGCTTTCCATGTGCATTGCTATATTTTATGCCATGGGCTGACTCATTTAAAATGGCTTGTTTATGCCACTTGGTATATAATTTGGTCATAATCTTTGGGAGCCCACACTTCACGTGCCGTAGATTTTCACCACCTGGGAGCCAAGATTGATGACTGGGCCATATGTATATTGTTAGCTGTAGTACATTGTGTATTAGTGTGATTGCTGGTTACTGGCTAGCAGTGATGGAGTCATGGAGAGGATAATATCATTTGCATTCGTTTATGGCAAGTGGCCCTCAATAGGCCATCCCATATCCCCATTAGGTGAAATGCTCAATTAAAGGGTGTTTAATATAATATAGCAATATAAAAGTTAAATATTCCTCCAGCTCTCAGATTTTATGGTATTATCTTGGAATGCAACTATGTTTCATGTGTATTCTGCCCCTCCAAAATGGTCATGAGCCAGAGCAAAGCTTCACACACTAAGGTAAGCAATTTTTTTTTACCGGGAAGCTATGCAGTATTAACCACAACACAAAAGGCAGTATGTTATCAGTTCTCACCCTCCTGTTTCTTTTTTGCTAGGTACTCCCCTGACATCAATCTAGCTGAATTAAGACATGGCAACTATTGACAGGTCAACAATCAGCAGACCATGGGAGCAGGAGCAACTGTGCCATGGTGGAGATATTTTACTATTTGTCACTCTTACAGATGACAATTAAGAATTTACCACTGGACTCACATATCATAGACGCATGAGGGCTCACATGTCATACACTGCGAGTGACAAATCCTTAATTGCCACATCTTAAAAGTGGTGAAAAGTCAGATTATAAATTGAACAGAGCAAACAAAGCAGAAGAACTCGACTCTAGGGTGACTATTGAAAGGAAGAAGGGGAGGAAGAGTGAGGAGAACTGAAGGTGGCTACAGAAAAAAAAAGTGCAGGCAGCTGATCGAGCACAACATGTCCAGCACCACCAGCTCTCGCCTCTTGCCAATGCCAATGTATGTGTTTATTACCCGGTAGATCTGTATATTGTAGATGCATGCATAACTCTGGATCAGTATGTTGTGATTGCCAGCATGGCTGCATCTCGACGAGGCGCCCCAGAACGAATACAGAGGACAGGGCAGAGAAGGAAGCGGGAATTTTTTTTATACAGAAGATGGATCGCATGGCATTACGACAAACCATGACCACATGGATGAAAAATCAATGATTAGCTGAGCCCAGATCCCAACTTTTTCTCTCCAGTGGAAAGCGGAAGGGATTATGCAGGTTTGAGTACAACGTGAAAATTTCCAGCTTCAGAGTTTAGAGTCGGCTGAACCACGGAAAGCGAAAGACGTCTTCATATGTTGGGGAGCTTGAAGTTTGAAAACGTGAAACAAACGAAGTGGTGGATGTCGATGGTATTGGCAGTTTGGCACCCATTTTCGCAGAGAATTTCTAGTTAGGTCGGCTCCTCAAAACATAGCACACGAATTATCCACCACAGCCACCATCGATCTGCAGCCAGCCAGCCAACCAGGAGAGCCAGGCTGCCAACCAAACAACGAAAGATAGAAAAGCGTCGCGGCGCGAAGCCTCTCTCCCTCTCTCCTCGCGATCCGTCCGTGGGATCTCGCGCTCGCGCACGCCTCTGTATTGGAAGCCGCAGCCTCCCCCCAGCCAGCCATGGGTGCCCGCGCGGATCGCGGCGCGTAGGCAGCCGGAGAGAGAGAGAGAGAGAGAGAGAGAGAGAGAGAGAGAGAGAGGGAGGGAGGGAGAAGACGGCGGGAGAGCAGCGCCACCGCCCGCGCGGCATGGACCGGAATGCCGGTTCCTTCGTCGCCATGCGCCGCCTCTCCGGCGGCTCCTCCTGCCACGACCCCTCGCCGAACACGTACGGTACGTGCTCGCCGCGCGATCGCCTGCTTTGCTTTGCTGCTGTTTCGGTTCGGGGCAGAGCCTGACGGCGACGAGGTTCTCTTCTCCTTTTTTTTTTTTGTTTTTTTTCCTTTTTTTTTTTGGCTTGCGCGCCGCAGCGGAGGTCGTGGCGGGGTCGACGGCGTGGATCGGGAGGGGGTTCTCCTGCGTCTGCGCGCAGAGGAGGGACAGCGACCAGCGCATCTCCTTCGATTTGAGCCCCGCTCAGGTGAAACTCCACAATGCAACAAACAAAATACTCTGCTCCTCGTCAATGCTTGGTAAAGCCATGTCGTGATGTGATCATGCGATCGGTTTTTACGTAGCTTGAAGTTGTTTTTTTGGATGGATGGTGGGTATATGTATGTATGCAAATCGGCCTATGGTAGTATTGGTATGATCGATCCCTGCAAGCGTAGATTGTGATTTATAAGAAAAATAAAATTGAATCAGGTTAATTCGAACCTTAATTGGCATTTGGAGAGATGGCTAGCGAAGGTGGTTGTGATAATGTGATGCCAATGTGGTAGTAAGTGAGGCATGGAAGTTCTCTTCACGAATGACGGAATTTTTTTTCTGCCCTGCAGGAGTGTTGTCTGCAGAGATTACAGAACCGGATAGAGGTACCGTACGATGGTTCAAATGGAGAGCATCAGGTATGATATGCGGATAGTATCAGCACCCATGGTGTTTGTTTGTGGAATTGTGGGTTCTAAGGTGCTATTTCAGACACCCATATTGTCGTACTATAAAATGAACACATTTTAGTCCTGTTAAATATGGCATGGAGAGTTTTATTTACTGTCTTTCTGTATGGGTAAATTAGCCACTGATCATACTGCACAATACCAGATGCTCGTCTATGAGTTTTCTTCTCTTTTTTTTTTCTGGTTAATATTTAGTTGCTTCTGTTAAAACTGCTTTCTGTCCCCTTAAGAAAATACGTACTATTATATTTTCATTCTCCACTTTCACACTTATCAAAGTTTTCATCACATCACTGGTTAGTGAGGTTAATTACTCTTCATCAAACCTTTTGTCCATTAGGAAGCATTAAAGACCCTTTGGCATGTTTCCTTTCCTGGAACTGAACTTTTAGGACTAGTATCAGACCAGTGGAAGGAGATGGGATGGCAAGGGAAAGATCCATCTACAGATTTCAGGTATTCCCCCTAGATTATCTTGTATGGCCTTAGTTACCAATTCTTAGTTAAATTTCAGATAATCATAAGTGTAATCTCATGCTGCATTTTAATTGCAGGGGCGGTGGCTTTATCTCTTTGGAGAATTTACTGTACTTTGCTAAGAACTATACTGTAAGTACAGATCCCCCTGACTACAGTGCTGGTTCACATATATATTTGATACTATCTTCAATGCTTTTCTTGTGCTTGAGATGGAAAGAATATGTTTCTTATGTATACATATCTGTTGAAGTGGCAATGAGTCATTGAGACCCACTTCCTTGTCATTTCTTCATCAAATGAACAGTTAATGATCTATTGACAATGAACCCATAAATATCCAATGGACCTAATACTATAGAAATCTGATATTTGCAGATAGGACCTAATTCAGCTCAATAGGACCTCTTTTTCCTTTTTGCAGAAATCCTTCCAGGAGCTCCTTTGTAAGCAGAATGGTGATAGAGCATTGTGGGAATATCCATTTGCTGTTGCTGGTGTAAACATTACATTCATGCTCATTCAGATGCTTGATCTTCAAGCAGGTTTGCTGATCTGTTTCCTTTGCAATGTTTTCTGAACTATGAATGAGGATTTGTCATTGCAACAATGGTGATTCATGTCACAATGACTGGTCTTGATTACCTCTGCAGCTAAACCAAGGTCGTTGATTGGATCGGTGTTCTTAAATCTACTTTTAGGTACAGTGTAATTATTAGTATTACATTTCTACAGGATTAATACATACAGAACTATATATGGGCCTAGTACAGTATAGTATTTTAGTAAAGTGATCTGCATCTATTCTACATCCACGAACCTATAACTAATAAGGGCCTACTTGGTAGAACTCCAACTCCTAAGTTTAGCTCTAGGAGTTGCGTCTGGCGTAGAGTTGTGGAGCAGCCTAAACCAGGTCCACCTCTCTAATTCATTTTGTGAGAGCGCTCCACCCAGCTCTGCTCCCATTTTAGGTGGAACTGTGCCAAACAGGCCCTAAGAGTTTTGTCGGTGACATGGGATCAGGAGTATCATGACTAGAGGTTTGAGGCAGACACAATCGCACACGTGGCCTGGTACCCCCGAGGGACGTCGGGCCCGAGGGTGATGCGTTCGCCCTCCTCTTAGTCCCCCCGAGGGGGTCGGGCCGCACCCCCCTCGGCCCCGAGGGCCGAGGCGCCCCGACCCCTCGTGGGTTTTTGCTCCGCGTGTATGGGTTAGGTGAGCACAGTGGGGCTCACCTAACCACATTTATTGCGGTTTGGCTGAGCGTGTCACGCCGCATGTAACGCAGTGCAGTGCACTCGTTTATCCGGTCTGTGACCAGTCACAGACCGGTCAGATCGCGGGTTAGGTGGCGACAGGCGATCTGACGCACGCCTCGCCCCATCCCGTCAGGACGAGGGCTTCTAGGCGCTCGTCCCCAGCTGGAGCTAGCGTGTTACCTCCCAGAGATGGCACGTTAGTCCTGGTCAGATATATGCCAGGCTTCATCCTAACCATTACAGGCAAGATGTTGTGTGAAGAAGGGCGAGCATGTAGATTGCTAAGCTGACACGTGGTGGACAAGAATGACCGACGTGACTGGTCTGATACCGGTCATGTCGTCAGCAGACAGCCACGATTCCACGTCGCACCTGCTCCCGGCGAAAGTGGGGGTAGTTGTGGGCCGTCTCATCAGAAGGTGACTCGGACGGCAACTATACAAATCTCCGTCCATTTATGAAAATGGGGGGGGGGGGGTAAGTCCCCACAAAAAAGAGAGAAATGGTGCATGTGGTATCCCCTTAAGATATAAAAGGAGGACCTTGCCCACTGAGAGGGGGGACTGGACTTTTCCAGATTAGAAACCCAGAACAAGGGAGAGGCTGGCTGATACTTTGTAGCTCCTTCATACACAGATCTCCCAAAACACAGGAGTAGGGTATTACGCTTCTCAGCGGCCCGAACCTGTATACATCGCCCGTGTCTTGTGTGTTTCCTGTCTCGCGAGCCTTCCACATACAGAGAGCTTAGAATCTCTCCCTGAGTCCCCGGCCGAACCGGCAAAGGGGGGCCTGCGCGGTCTCCCGGTGAGGAGCCCCACGCTCCGTCATCTGGCGCGCCAGGTAGGGGGCTCTGCGAGGGATTTTCTGAGCTCTCGCACTCTTTCGTGTGCGCCAAGCTTTTCCTGTTCAGCCCAATGGCCGAGCCAGCAAAGGCGCACGACCTCTCCCCGAGTATGAGCGGTGACGACGGGGAGCCAAACCCACGCCGTCGAGCTCGTACTCCACCGCCCCCTCCACGCCAAAGTCCTAGGCGGGAGAAGGCGCTCGAGAGGGCCGAAGGATCCGCGACTTCGACACCCACAGGAGGTGGAGAAGGGCGGCGAGATGGGGAGCGTCGCCTCCTCGTCTACGGCGACGGCAGCACGCCCCAGGGCGCGCTCCAAGCTGCAGGCGCGCTCCTACGTCACCCGCCCGTCGCCCATGACCCGGAGTCTCCAGCCCAACGTTGGCTGGACGATGTGGCCAAATTGGTCATGACTGCACGGCAGCGCCTAGATGCTGGTGGGCGGTCCTCCGCCACCAAGGCCTCTGGTGCTGCTACCACCGGCTCCGCATCATCAAGACGGAGGGCGCGGCGAGCGGCAGCCGCTGTTCGCCATTCGGCCGCCACTCCTTCGTCAACGCCTCCGACCCGGGAAGATCTGCGTGGGGAACCGGATGCTCGCATCAGTATCGAGCGCCGGCGTAATGGCCGACGTGCTCCCCACGCAACGGAGGGCGCCTCCTCGTCCGGAGTGTCACCTCACCACGGACGCGGGGATCAGCCCTCCGTGCCCCCGGTTGGTGGTGTCGGCTGTAGAGCCTTTGTGGCGAGCCTTCGGAATGTCCGTTGGCCCCCAAGTTTCCGGCCCACCATCGCCGAAAAATATGACGGGAGCGTCAACCCCGCCGAGTTTCTCCAGGTCTACACGACCGGGATCGAGGCCGTCGGGGGTGACGACAGGGTCATGGCGAATTTCTTTCCCATGGCCCTGAAAGGACAAGCGCGGGGTTGGCTAATGAACTTGCCACCCGCGTCTGTCCACTCTTGGGAGGATTTGTGCCAACAGTTCACCATGAACTTCCAAGGCACATATCCGCGCCCAGGTGAGGAAGCGGACTTGCACGCAGTACAGCGAAGGGATGATGAGTCACTTCGCTCGTACATTCAGCGGTTCTGTCAAGTCCGCAACACCATACCATGCATCCCTGCGCACGCGGTGATTTACGCGTTCAGGGGGGGTGTGCGGCACAACCGCATGCTTGAAAAGATCGCCTCCAAGGAGCCCCAGACTACCGCGGAGCTTTTTCAGCTCGCGGACCGAGTGGCTCGTAAGGAGGAGGCATGGACCTGGAACCCCTCCGGTTCCGGTGTGGCAGCTTCGGCCGCCCCCGGATCCGCCGCTCAGATAGGGCGGCGTGACAGGAGGAGGAAGAAGAGGTCAGCCCATACCGACGACGAGGGTCATGTCCTCGCCGTCGAGGGCGCTTCGCGGGCCACCCGAAAGGGGAGGCCTGCGGGAGGCAAAAAGAACGAGGCCGGCGCTCCCAACAGGGAGCGCCCAACCGGCAAGTGGTGCACCGTCCACAACACTTCCCTTCACGACCTCGCGGACTGCCGTGCAGTCAAAAGTTTGGCTGAGCGGACGAGGAAGTGGGAGGAGGAGAGGAGGCAGGAGCGCCGAGAGGGCAAATCCCCGGCGGTTCCTTCCGGTAATCGGTGAAGTGAGGCCAAGCAGAAGGCCCCCGCCGAGGACATCGATGACGGCGATGATGACCTAGGTTTCCAAGAGCTTGGGGCCACCATTGCCACCGTCGATGGGGGAGCGTGTGCTCACGTTTCTCGCCGGAGCTTCAAGGCCATGAAGCGAGAGCTTCTGGCCGCGGCCCCTACTCATGAGGCGACGTGTCGGGCGCGGTGGTCGGAGGTTGCCCTCACCTTCGACCAGACCGACCACCCACCGTGCGTTGCCCGGGGAGGGCAGATTGCGATGGTGGTTTCTCCCACCGTTTGCAACGTGAAGTTGGGGCGTGTCCTCATTGATGGGGGAGCGGCCCTCAATATCCTTTCCCCTGCGGCCTTTGACGCCATCAAGGCCCCGGGGATGGTGCTCCGGCCGTCCCAGCCAATTATCGGTGTGACGCCGGGGCACACGTGGCCGTTAGGTCACATCGACCTACCGGTCACCTTCGGTGGATCCGCCAACTTCCGCACGGAGCGGGTGAACTTCGATGTGGCGGACCTCAGTCTGCCCTACAACGCGGTCCTGGGGAGGCCCGCGTTGGTGAAGTTCATGGCGGCGGTCCACTACGCCTACCTACAGATGAAGATGCCGGGCCCCGGTGGCCCCATCTCTGTCCATGGCGACCTCAAAGTCGCGCTCGCTTGTCTGGAGCAGCGCGCGGACCACCTCGCCGCTGCATCCAAGCCCGAGGGTGGCGACGAGAGGCTTGGCGCTTCCGCCCCCGCCACCCCGAGGCAACGGATGATCACAGGCGACGAGGTCCCGGTCAAGGAGGTTGCCCTGGGCGACGGCCCGTCCAAGACCACACGGATCGGTGGTCTTTTGGACGGCAAATAGGAAGACGCGCTCGTCTCCTTCCTGCGGGCAAACGCTGACGTCTTCGCATGGAGACCGGCGGATATGCCCGGGGTCCCCAGGGAGGTGATTGAGCACCGTCTCGCCGTGCGGCCGGGCGCAAGGCCGGTCCGGCAGAAAGTGCGGCGGCAGGCCCCGGAACGTCAAGCCTTCATCCGCGAGGAGGTGGCGCGACTTCTGGAAGCCGGATTCATCCGTGAGGTCATCCATCCGGAGTGGCTGGCGAACCCGGTGGTCGTTCCCAAGGCGAACGGCAAGCTTCGGATGTGCATCGACTACACCGACCTTAACAAGGCATGTCCTAAGGATCCTTACCCCCTGCCTCGCATAGATCAGATTGTCGACTCCACTGCGGGGTGCGACCTTTTGTGTTTTCTAGATGCATACTCTGGTTACCATCAGATTCGCATGGCTAGGGAGGATGAGGAAAAAACTGCGTTCATTACCCCCATAGGAACCTATTGTTATACGACAATGCCCTTCGGGTTAAAGAATGCAGGTCCTACTTTTCAACGTACTACTTGAATTTCTTTGGGTAACCAATTAGGACGTAATGTTGAGGCTTATGTCGATGACTTGGTTGTAAAGACGCGCAACCAGGAAATGTTACTCTCAGATCTAGCGGAAACTTTTGAGAGTCTCCGCTCCGCCCGCATAAAACTAAACCCCGATAAGTGTGTGTTCGGTATACCTGCGGGCAAGCTTCTAGGGTTCTTGGTCTCTGCCCGAGGCATTGAGGCCAACCCTGAGAAGATATGGGCTATAGAGCGGATGCGCCCCCCCAGCAAACTTAGGGATGTGCAATGCGTCACCGGTTGCATGGCCGCCCTAAGTCGGTTCATATCGAGGCTGGGAGAGAAGGCGTTACCCTTATTTAAGCTTCTCAAACGCTCCGGACCGTTTACCTGGACGGAGGAAGCCGAAAATGCCCTCACCCAGTTGAAGGCGTATCTAAGCTCTCCCCCAGTTCTGGTCGCCCCGGAGCCAGACGAGCCCTTGTTACTCTACTTAGCGGCGACCCCGCAAGTAGTTAGTGCGGCATTGGTTGTGGAGCGCGATGAGAACAATTCTCAT